AATTAAAAAACCGCGTCTAAAAGCGGAAACCGCGTGTGCTGCGGCGCGTTAAAACCGCGTCAAAACGCGGAAAAACCACGTTTTTTTATTAAGGCCCTAATTCAATGTGAATACTTTTTTATTTTTATTATTCTTTGAGTAATTAATATTCAAGGGTGAGGTTCTTGTGTGTGAGGAGGCTTCTGAAAATGCTGAAAAATGTGTGACTGTGGTGTAATGAATTTAGCTTAATGGTTAGAATCCCTCACTCTTTCAGTTCCAAGTTGAGATCTTGAGTTCATTCCTGACCCTGGGTAAAATTTTGAAATAGGTGACATGACACACAATAATTACACATGTTTTGACTCCTGAAGAGAATGATCTCCCTTGAATGGAAATAAATTCACTGGTCATTGTCCCACCTACCAAGTCTTGCAAGTGTTACTCATGTAACTTGCCCAGTTACACAAAATTTATCCATTTTTGACAAAATAGTAAATGTATACCCCCTTTCGCACAAACTAGCTTTTTTTCAACTTCCATCAAAGCAAACCCCTTTCTGAGCAAGATATTGTAACTGAAGTATAGATATCTGTATTTAGCTGAAAGCTACATATTTTGATAACATAGGTGGCCCCTGCTGCACAGACCATACCTAATTTCACCATTACTCAACTTTTTTTTCCTTGATTCCATTTTAAATTTGCTATTAGTTATGCAATAATAAAACTTCCAAGTCAATTGATGATGATCTTGAAATTTGAACCAAATTTCATTCAACAGTTGATTAGACTCATATGTAAGAAATTACTAAAGAAGTTTCACAATTTGAGCAAAGATTTCACAATTTGAGCAGAGATTGCACAATTTGAGCAGAGATTGCACAATTTGAGCTTGCATTTGATCTTTGAGGATGTGTTTCATTTATTTGATAGAGATAAGAGATGAATGAAAGGTATTGGAAAACAATCATTTGATAAGTCTGGGGAGGGGGTAAGACAACCAGGTACACAGACATCTTGTCTTGGCAAGTATAAGAAGCTCACATTTAGATGGGGATAGTCACCATGCATTGATAAGGAAAACTTGTTTTGTTATCAAAAAACCCTTTGGGAAGGAAGTGTGGGTCAGGCAGATTATCAGGAGAAGTGGAATTGGTTTTATATATGGGAGCAAGCAGTCACCAAGTAGCAAGAGATATTCTAACAGAATTGTCTTCATCATCATCCATATCTTCGTTACCTTCCTTGTCTTCATCAGTGTCCTCAACTTCATCCTTGTCCTCCTCATCGTCCTCAAAATCCTCCTCCTCCTGCCTAGTAGCTGCGGTTGATGTTGTCGATCAAGGCAGGGGATGAAAAGAGATCGTATGTCGAGAGAGACTGGCGGATCAGCCTTCATTTTTGGAGTTTGGCCGCCGATCGCTATACACTTGCAAAGCTTGTTCGGCCAGCTTGTGCCCCGCTGGCTAGCCGAGCGATCCAGTCAGATTTGAAAAAAAAACCACCCCGGGGACCCACCGAGCTCGACCGCCAAGGCCCGAGACAAAGCAAGATAGGACAACACACCTGTGGCCTACCCTATACCCTATACAATACACCCCCTCAGACAGTGAAATAAGGGGGTGCATACCGACTTTTCTGCGCCAAAGTTATAATACCTGAGATCCCTGGAATTCCTAAAATACCTGGGTTTCAGGCCGACCAAAAAATTGACAAAGTCCCTCTTCTGGGGCTGGCCTACCCCCCCCCCCCCTCCCAAGTCCGCCTTTCAGCCGGAGAACCTCGCGCCGGTAATACTCCGGCTACATCACCTCGCGCCGGTGATAATACACCTACATCACCAATTCCTTTCCGCACATCACACCCCCGTCGGCCTCATCACTCCCATCGGCCTCATCACCCATCGGCTGCATCACTTCCCATTCGGCCTCATCACCCATCAGCCTTGTCACCCATCGGCCTCATCCCATCAGTCTTGCAACCCATCGGCCTAGTCACCCATTGGCCTCACCCATCGGCCTCGTCACACCTCATCACCCAGCTAAACTGCCTCTCAGAACCGACACCTCAATCAACATCACTTCATCAAATCTACGACCTTACCTTCCCCACCTTCGAACGTTACACTTCCTGATCATCAAATACCAAGGTTGCATAAAAATCACATTCGACTTTGTAAGTTTGCCTTCGATATCGCTGTGGTCTATCCCAACAAACAACCTACCATTAAACTGAAACTCGGCATCTTTCTAAGTCCCTCATGACAAATACTAGGTTTCCTATTCGGGAAGCCAACCGCACGCAGATCTTACGTCGACGAGTTCATGCGGCAAGGATTGCGGCCTCCGTGGCCCGAATGCAACAGCAAAGAAACTTAGATCAACAGCGAGAACAACTTGCTCAGCCTATGGAACTCGAAAACATCTTCGATGAGCCGAATCAGACCAACGACAATCAACCAAATGAGCGAGGTGGACCAGAAGATGAAGAGGAGAGAGACGAAGACTGTGTCTGGGTCGACTTGATAGAAGATCAACCGGACGAGATCGATCTAGCGATTGCTTCGGCTAGAGAAAGACACCGTCAACAAGCTCGTGACTATAACTGGGCCGTGCTCATTCACCAACTCCATGCCAATTACATGAAGTTGAAGACGATCACACAGAACTGGGCCGGGGCTAATTCATATGATAGTTTTGCCAGCTGCTCACCGACATGCACCCGTGAATATCCTCGTGTCGTGGACTTAGTGGACATCCGTGGTCAGTCCTTTCTTGTGGATTACATATATTAAACGTACTAATCCACCGCTAAATCAGGACAGCAACGTCAAACCATCCGATTTTGTGCATGTACACCGGATGGTGTCCGCCTGCTCCAGCATGGGTATCTAGCCGGTTCTCCAGTAAAACCACAAACAGCATTCTCCCTCCCACTCCTCATCTTTCACAACCACTTATGGAATAACTGTCATATTGGAACCCTTCCTTTCACAACTGCTCTCACTTCTTGGCTTGAACCACGGTCGCAGCGATTGTGTGTTCGCAAGGGAAAACATGTATGTAAATTTCTTTTTTGTTTCAAATCCGTATCTCATCTATACTAAGCTGATATGTGATGTGTTGAAAGGCCAGGCAGATGCGAAAACCCTTCACTGCTGCGGTTGACTTGTTCCGACAACTTGAAGAGAAAACCACTAAGGTGATATTTTCATCTTTGCAGCTGACTGAGCAGCAAACACTTGCATGCACTTCATGCCCCTCCTGCTTTGGACCGCCACCTGCCAACCCTCTCGATTACCCTGAAATCACCCGAAACCGACTTATTGTTTGTCTTGACGGAAACTTTCAGCACCGACACCAAACTAATTCCAGTCGCAATTACGAGAGGCTTCGAACACCACGAGTTTTTTTAAAGCAAAGCACAGTCGACAAAGTGGCTCAAGAAATCCGAGCAAAAGAAGCAGAGGGAATGACACCGGAGCAGGTTGGTTCTTGCCGTTCCATAAATCTACTTATCAAGCTTGTTGACACCATCCAATTCAGACAGATAGATGTACAGAGTCTCATAAAGCTGCAGACGATAAAAGAAATGAATCCACGTGGAAGGGTTGCGACGATACTGGCCTCATGGGTTGCTGTTGTCGTCACGACGCAGTGGTCTATCTTGCAAACATCTTCAAGTCGGGTGAGAAGAGACACTTCCCAATGGCAATCATTCAAGCCCTCCTCTCAGCGGTTGAGCCGACCCGTCCGATTGGTATCTTGTATGATATTGGCTGTAGCTTAGACAAGTACATTGACCGGGTATGTTAATCTCAACCATCTCAACACATGTAGATAAATTCTCTGCTGATTTCTAATCTCAATGATCTTTTGAGACCAGAGGGGACTCATACCCAATGATCGTTCCAGGGTTAAATTTGGCACCTCCGTTTTTCACGCTTATGCTCATAACTGGCTCTGCCAGTTGGATTACCATCCCCGATTCAACCAAGGATGGGGGCTGTCTGATGGGGAGGGATTGGAGAGGATGTGGTCGTATCTCTCCTCCCTTGTCAGCCCTTTAAGATATGCTACTCGGAATCATCGGCTTGGGGCAATTGCTCACCGTCTCAAACATCACAACCACCGAGGCATACAGCAACTACGTGAGAGAACATTAATTCTTCTTTGATGATTGATCACTCATTCCCCTCTCTTTGCCTTGCTACCTCAGCTCATTGGCTGAGAAAGAAGTTTAGCCAAGCGGTTGGTCGTCGCCAAGAAAATCAAACAACTTTGGCTCAATTGTTAGCAAAGGCCAATCCACACAACCAGGGAGGTGGCAACTTTACGATCAGCTTTTTCAAGAGTCAGTGGGCTTCTCAACGATCCTTCCAACAAGATCATACAGTTGAAGAAGAAACACGGCGAGCCCAACTCATATCATTCTACAAGCGAGAAGCCACCGTTGAACTTCTAAGGTAGTGTAGTTAGGCTTCAAAAAATTGCAAAATCTGTGTGTCCCTAACCATCAGCCTAATTCAATTTTTTAACAGGGAACGTCTCCGAAGTCCTGAGATTTATTTGGAGGATCCTGAAGAAGTCCGGCAACTCATGGATTCTATCCTTGAGCAATCAGACCTCCTTCGACAAGAAGCTGAAGAACTGGCTGGGAGCAATGCAATAGAGACAGGTGGTAAGTGTGTGATACAAAAAACAATGCTGGAAGCTGATAGGCTGATAGTGTGTACACCCTTATAGATCCGGAAGAACAGAAGCTCAGGCTACTCCTGTGGGATGCCAAGGCAGCACTCTTTGTTGAAGCCGTACATATCAATGCTGAGCGCCAGCCGCTGAACAATTCACATACGATGGGATCACGACTCGGAACCCGTGGTAAGGAGAAGATAATCAAGGGATTGCAAGCCCGGCGCGCTGCAGGCAAAAAGCTCATTGATGCATTCAATGATCAATATCAAAAATTCACTACCAAATACCCTAATGTCCAACTCTCCGATGCCTCCGATCATCCTCTTACGTATGACGAATTCTCAACATGGCCGATGGATCACCGATTCTGGAATGATGGCTTATATTACCATTCCAGTGAACCTTGGTCTGTTGATCCAGACGTCCGGACAGGCATCAACTGTGTTCTGATCCTCAGAAGAACTCAGGAGGAGTTTGAACTGATTGCGCAGGAACTGGCTCGGGCAGTCGGCTGGGCCACATCACACTACAGAGTGATCGAGGAAAAAATCAGGAACATCAGAAGCCGTGAGTGCCTACATCCAGCAGAGATACCATCATAATCTTACTACATATAAGAACTGACTTGTATTTTGACAGGCATCAACCTCATTCAAGCCGATGAAAGCATTGAACCTGACTATCTTGATGCTATAGTGCTGGGTGATCTTGGTTGAGTCCCCAAATTAAAGCTGATTAATGATGAGCTAGAACTCCAACTTAAACTACATGGTCAATTGCTTCTGGACTGGTCGGACAACGTCACTTGGCTATGGAATCACTGCCAGCCTCATAACAACCAAGCAGCTATGTCGGACTGGATCAGTTTGGTTACACAAATCACCAACAACTCCCAACCTCATTCGAATCAACCAACTCCTTTAGCCACTGTCGATGATGATTTAGAGGAAGCCGGATTGGATGATGTGGAGGATGGAGAAGATGTGGAGGACCAGTTGATCTCTGATGCTGAGGCAAATCGGCAAACCAGGATTCCTAATGATGAGGGTAGCACCAGTTAAATGAGAGATCCTCAAAACATTGGCCTCTGTGTGTCTGACTTGCAAGTTGTGATGGTTGCATTATCTCTACTTACCCTTATATTTTTAATGGTCTCAGATTAACAAATTCTGGCATTATAAATAGCTTGTACCGGGGTTTGATGTTGACACATTAGGTCAAAGTAGCTTATAAGTATGAAATTTGATTTGTAAAAAGTTGTTTGTGTTTCAATTGAGTGTTGCATGAGATATTCAGAGCAATCAAATTTATTTATATGAAAGGCCAATTATTATTTTTTTATCATGAGTGTATTATTACTGAATGAGTAAATGGGGTTTGATTTGTGTGAGCAAGTTGGTGCTTAGCAGGAAAATTAGTGTACAAATACCATTTTGGTTTTGACTGAGGGTTGCAAAAAACTCACAGAGAAAACAGATATATAGATATATATGAGATGAGAAGAAAATTCCAATGTTACTCATCATTGGTCACTGAAGGATTGAATGAGGTTTGATTGTTGAGACAGGCTTGGTCAAGAATGTTTTTGTTTTAGGTGAGTATTGTAATCATGAATGTTGAATCATTCCAAATTAACACATGGAAAAATTCAATCCATGCTTTGGAATGGCTCATGTATGTAGCATCATTCCAAAGTAACACATGGTCATTCTCATTATTGTTACTTATTTTAAGAATCACATGTGTTAGTTTGGAATGAGGCAACATGCATGAGTCATAACAAAGCATGCATTAAATTTTTATCAGGTCACACAAACATAAACACATGCATTGGAATGGCTCTTTCCTAAGCAGCACATGTTTACTGTCAAGATAAGTCACAATAATGAGAATGAACATGTGTTAGTTTGGAATGAGGCAACATGCATGAGTCATTCCAAAGCATGGATTAACAGTTTATTATGTCACAAAAACATTAAACCATGGTTTGGAATGACTCATACATGTTGAATCATTCCAAAGTAACACATGCTCATTCTCATTATTGTGACTTATCTTGACAGTAAACATGTGCTGCTTAGGAAAGAGCCATTCCAATGCATGTGTTTATGTTTGTGTCTCATGCATGTTGCCTCATTCCAAACTAACACATGCTCACCTTATCAAAATAATTCTATAATAATACCAGTTTCAGGTTTCCTTTTGGTATTCTAATTTTTCTCCCTGCATAATCATGTAATCACTGAGACCCAGAACATATCTGATGTGTGCTTTTCCTACTTGGCACCTAATTGTTCCAATCTCTCCTTCAGCTATTATGCAATAATCCTCAAAAATAAGCAATTTACAATATGTGAATGCAAAGATGGCTTTTGTCAAAAGCCCACAAAATACTCACTAGAATAATTGAAAAAAAAACCAAAAAAACTATCATTGCCTAAATGTATTTTGCCTATCACAAAATACACAATCCTATGATGCCCATCCTATGGAAATTTGTTTGAAAAGATGGTTTGGATCAGTGGGGATGGCTGGTTTGTCAATTGAGTCAAAAGAGAGTTAAGAGACCGTACTTGTAGCCCTTTTCCACACCACACCATCAGTGAGTGAAAATGCGGCCTGCACACCGTGGGCCTGCACATGCAATTTGCCGCAGCTTAAGAGCTTCAAATGAGGGAACCACAACTCACCTCTATACAGGTTGCACCCACATTTTGGTTGTTGTTCAAGAACATTCCACCAGCCCATCCCCCTCGAGAACATTCCACCAGCCCATCCCCCTGGCTTCAATTCCCCTCACTGTGATTGTGCCTCAAGACCTTTCCTACTTAGACCGGTTATCAATCTTAGTCCCACCTTGCCTGCTTGCCGCATTTTCAACCACATCAAATCGCTTTCAATTTTGCTCACACCTAGATAATACCAGCCTCAATGTCAAACTCACATCCATCGCAGTTTGTCTCTCCTGGTTCCACCCCTCAAACATCGGAAGCAGGTCACATTTTTCCCGCCGGAGGTCCACCACGTCCTCATCCAGACCTTCGTCGCATCTCGGCCAGTCAATCAAACAGTGCCAATCCTGCCTTCACCTTTTCAGTTCCATTTCCGGCCGATCCCAATAACTCTGAAAGTGCCCGGGCCAATCCCACCAAGGGGAACCCCTACTGGGACAGTTCTCAAACCAATTATACCCAAGTCACCCCCTTGAACCGAAGAGGTCCTATTAATTCTCAATCTGTTTCATCAACCCAAAGCTTACCTCCACCACTTCAACTCAACGAGGTCCCAGTCACCCAGGCCAAATCCAAGCCTCCGCGCAAGAAAAGAGCCCCCAGAAAGAAGACCGTCAAGGCACCAGTCGGAGTTCCTGATCCACCCCCATCGTCGACCAACAACCGTCCTGCTGAACACCATTACGATAGTGACCCTGAGATCAACCTTGCCGCTCCATCTCATCGGTCCAAACGCCAGCGGGTTGAACCTGAAGTCCTTGAAAAACTTTCTCACGAATCGCTCGAGGAACTCCGAGTCCGTGCTGCAAAGTATGCTGAGTACATTCGCCTGACGGCCGAAGATAAGGTTGTCCTTGATGAGGCCTACCGACAATATCAGCGAGCTGTTCTGAAGATTGCAATCGAGAGGAAGCTACACGTCAAACCTGTCCTCTCATACCTAGGCAATGAGGTCAGGATCCGCGGGCCAACCAACTTCAATAATTTCTGTAAATATGACGAGATTGCTGGTCCCATCTATCATGACAGTAAGCTTTCTACACCTTCCAACTCGCTTGAGATGTGCTGGCCCGCTCATGATGATGCACCTATTTTCAGAGAGTATTCCAATTGCCGATCGGATGACCAAGCTAAGCGAGCTTTGGAGTCGACTCGATGAGGTGCAGAAGGACCAATGGAGGGATCAAGAGTTCTTGGACTCTATCACTCCGCCCGACTATGTTATACCCCCCGAGTCAGACCGTGTTCATGCTGCTCCCAAATGGAGAAAGCGTGAAGCTTTCAAGTTGAATAACTGGACCCGCAAGATGAAGCGAGATGTAAGCCTCTTCTGCTGTTCTCATCCAATGATTGAATTTGATGCTTACAAGGAACACCCTCTTGCAGCTTAAAAATCTCAGTACATCTCACCAAGTCGAGGGCTTTTTTGTCTTGGCATCTCGCGATCCCGATGGGCCTATCCTCAGTACTGGAGGCAGCCTCATGGCCGAAGAATTCTTGGATATAATGGCGGCCGATACGAATCCCTGTAGGTCGTTCTACAACTTTGTTAATGGTCAGCAAGCAATCAAAGATATTTCAGGTAAGCCTCCTCCACCCCTTAAGAAGAGAAAGAGGCGTTCCGGGAAAGAAAACTACGATCCAAGTTGTCCTTATGACCTCGGTAAGTCTCATCGCTTCTTGTTTTTGGTCAATAAAACGGCTGACTTTTGTTGCCAACAGGTAGCAGGGAAGCCAATATCGAGGCGGTTAGAGAGAAGCTCAGAGACGCTCTCAGTAAGTATATCGATTTCATTCTCCGACTTATACAACTATACAAACACTTACCTGTTATGAATCCCAAAACAGGAAAGGCTACTCATGGTGTATGGGCTGATGGATGGCCGGGTACTAAAACCGAGAAGACGCTTCGTTCACTCGGTGTCACCCTCCAGGTGCAGCAGAACGACCTGTTCATTCATGCTAGTGAATTCTGCAAACGCCCATCCGACATGCGAATTGGCCAAACGCAACGCATTCTGACAGCCTTTGCAAAAGGGTGGGTGAGACTCATCAGCCGGGCCAGCCCTGACACACCTGAGGGTGAGGTCAGCACGATCGGCAACGATCTCTCTGACGATGATTCCAATCACGGCCCAGCAAACCATGTGGCTATCACTGCCGTCAAGCGACCCAAACAACCGAGGAAGCCCAAGGGTGGAAAGAAAAAGCATACCGCCACCAGGAAATCAAATGTGATTGACGATTCTAGTGATTCTTCGGATGGGGAGGACAGCCCACCAAAAACCCCTCGCCCCAAGCGTTCAGTCGTTTCTAATCGCAATGCTTCGCTCCGGATCGAGACCTTTGGAACAATCAGACTTCCAAGGTCTGTCACTCCTCCAGACTCAATCTCGCAGTCCCCTCTCCCCGAGTTTGGATACCAAAGTAATCCAAGATCGGTGGAGGCCATTCAAGAACCTGGGTCTTCAAAACAGCGGAGGGATCAGAAATCTGGGAATGAGAAACATCCCCTCTTCATCCCCAGCGACCCCGATTCTAACGACTCAGAAGACAACTACACCGACGATGAATACTGATTCAATTCACATTACACCTATTTACCTATCTCTTTTCCACATTTTTTGCTATCTTATGAATGCCTTTTCCTGTTGTCTCTTCATGTCTGTTTGATTGCTTGCTCTCCAGCCAGTCGTTTGGTTTGTTGCTTCAATCAGAACCAACGACTAACCAACAGCCTCTGAGTTACTCCTGATTAGAACCTACCTGCTTCTTGACTGTTGCTTGTCGCTCTTTCAATTTCAATCCACACAATCCACACTCGTTTCTCTTGGAGTAATCAAGTGCAACAACTTTTCTGAGTTGTTCACCCAATGCTATTTTTAGTTGTGAATTCTGAAATTGAGCCGGCAGCAGCTCCTCTTGTACATACAGTCACAACATTCTCTTTGAACCATAAAAACAAGCAGTTAGAAATGATAAAGTGAGGTGACAAAATCAAGAAAGTAGGATCGAACCCTAAAAACAAGCAGTTATAAATGATAGAGTGAGGCAAAAAAATCAAGAAGATATGGTCGAACCCTAAAAACAAGCAATTGGAGATGATAAATTGAGGTGAGAAAATCAAGAAAGTAGGATTGCCATCCAACTACTCACAACAGATGTTAAACATCACCAATTGACGATGATTGAATAGAATTGGACTTACAATAGATAAGAATAGTGAGGATCGATACGATCATCCCTGTGAGTTTTTCAAGTGAAGAGCGGAGGTCTTTTCATCAAAAAAGACAAATTGCCTTATCAGTAGACAAACATACAGAGAAGGAAATAGAATAAAGTAAACAGTCAAGCGATGAAATCGTAAGGAAATAGAATGAAATAAAAGTCAAGCAATGAAATTGAAAGGAAATGGAAGGAGGAGTTGATCGCGCGAAGCGATCTGATTCAAGGTGAGAAAATTGAGAAAATCGGATTAATTGTGAGACAACCATCTTGTTCCAATTAATGGGGGGGGTTATTGGCCGGCACGGTCTGCCAAGCCCAAAGTGTGGTTGGATGAAGATCGGAAGGTGAGGTTGGTTCACCGGTGGGTTGGCTCCTGAGGTTAATTGAGGTGATGCCAGTTGAGATGTCAGTTCCGATAGGCGGTTTAGCTGGGTGATGAGGTGTGACGAGGCCGATGGGTGATGAGGCCAATGGGTGATGAGGCCAATGGGTGATGAGGCCGATGGGTGACGAGACCGATGGGTGGCGAGGCTGATGGGTGATGAGGCCGATGGGAGTGATGAGGCTGATGGGAGTGTGATGAGGCCGACAGGGGTGTGATGTGCGGAAAGGAATTGGTGATGTAGGTGTATTATCACCGGCGCGAGGTGATGTAGCCGGGAGTATTACCGGCGCGAGGTTCTCCGGTTGAAAGGCGGACTTGGGAGGGGGGGGGGGGTAGGCCAGCCCCAGAAGAGGGACTTTGTCAATTTTTTGGTCGGCCTGAAACCCAGGTATTTTAGGAATTCCAGGGATCTCAGGTATTATAACTTTGGCGCGGAAAAGTCGGTATGCACCCCCTTATTTCACTGTCTGAGGGGGTGTATTGTATAGGGTATAGGGTAGGCCACAGGTGGGACAACATACTGTAGGATAGCCTAGACGCACATGTTCCATAGACTATACTACAGTATGTATACTATCGACAGGGGTGCGCCCGACCCTGCTCGAGCTCGCGGAGCGAGAGGGACTTGGCTACACCACAGGTTGTGTGCAACCAGGGGCCGGCGTCAGATCCGATGTCAAACCGACCTTGCCGACCCCCCCTTAATCGCTTGGTGTGTTTCTATGCGGGAGGTGTCGGGAGCCGCCGTTGGCCCAACCCTCCAACGTGAGCATTACATGGGTGCCCGCAGTCGGGATCGCTTCCGACGCTGGCCTTACATCAAGGCCGCGGTCGGCCCGACTTGGGACAAACCAGGTGTGTTTGACAAAAACACACCACCCATGGGGCTTGAAATTATCCTATCATAGCACATGCTCATGTCTCCCGGGGAGTGCAGACCACCACTCAGAGAATCGCCAATTCCTCTAAACTCACACTTAGTACTTTCGATCATGACCACCATCAATTGAAACCTTTTATTTCATCCTCTTCTACAAATTGTTTGCTTACTGGAATCTTTATTTCGGACATAGCTATGGTGTTACTTTTCCGATCGCTCAAAAATGTGACGTCAATGGCGACAATGCCCATCCAGTTTATAACTTTTTGAAGAGTGAAAAATCGGGAATTGTGAGTCTCGTGGAAGTTAGGCTGTCACCATGGGCATGGCTATCCTTCTTCTCCCTTTCCGATCTAATATTCAACACGATCCCTCGTGTTTATTTATTTCATTTCATCAACTGACCATATGACTTTTACACGCTTTCAATTGATCATCAATGATAGATGGGACTCTCACGAATCAAATGGAACTTCGAGGTATGATACATACAAACATCTTGACAATATGTCCTCCAAAACATAGGCTAACGTTCTTGAATCCAACTTTGTGTAGAAATTCGTTGTGGACAAGAAAGGGGCCGTTCGTTATAGACATGCCTCGTGAGTACTAATCTGTTTTTGATTAGGTAAAGTCAAAACATAACCCTTAAATATACGTATCATTCTATTTTATTTTAGGACTTCTAAGCCTGAGTCACTTGAAAAGGAGATCGAAGGTTTGTTAGCCGAATAAGCACCTCGATCTGCGCCTCCCGAGCGGGATGAATCGACGGGATAACATGTTCACCTGACCTGCAACCCTTTATGGCTGGCTATCGTGTTTCAATTTTTTATTCTCTTCACTCCATACTTCATCCCCCCCCCCCCCCCGGGTACCTTCTGTGTTTTGATGAATATTCACAAACCACAATCACAAGGGAATCATGTACATTAGCAATTTGGCAGCCATTATCTTCTTGGAATCAAATGAAATTGCATCTTTTTCGAAGTGGTATGTATACCGAGACGACTATCATCTGTCCAGATGATCTAGCCCCACAATCAGGGATAGAGCTGGAATAGTGCATGTCTAAATCTAGGCTATTATTAGGAGTTGAAACTTGTCTGACATGTTGTCGATAGGATGGTTGTAGCCAGCCTTTATATTCAGCAATATTTACCACCATCCAGCATCAGCAAGCTTCAGGCTTTGCGTATTTAGGAGAAGGAGACAGGCTGGCCCAATATCAAGGAAGGCTTGGTGATTAACGTTGGGTGCTGCAAAGTTGGGAAAGACCACCTGAGGGAGAGCAGGACACTCCAGGGCGATCGTCGGCTCAGTTAACTTTCAGTCTTATTCATCCATGCCATCTTTGACCCTCTCCATATTTACTTTACAAGGTCTGAAGAAACTCGTGGCACCATGAAAAATTTGAGGGCAGTACATGTCAGGTGACATGAAGCTAACTCCTGCCTGTATTCCAGTGTTACTTCAAAGCCAAAGGGTTGGGACTCCCTGATGACCACAAAGGGAAAATTGTTATTTGAGCAGACAAGCACCAGAGTAACAATGGAGTTGTAACATATGTCACTTCATGTCACCTGACACCTACTGCCCTCAGATATTTCCTGGTGTGGATAGCTTGAAAATTAAGGAGTATCGGTAGAAAAGACTAAGAAACCCGGTGTATCATGTCTGAAGCATTTAGTCTAAATGTATGGTAATTTCATAGATTGCCCGCTCTCCTTTCTGGTCCTTTGTGGTCCAGTTGTTTGGCTCTCTTTGTCGAAATCAACTGGGGAGTGTAAGTTGGGTATCACATTTTCTTAGTCAAGTTTTACAGAATTCTCTTTTTTATGGATTACATATTTATATCCTTATAAATTCACTTTCGAACATAGCATTTCCTATGTCAGTTGCATTTTTTTTAACTAACATACTAGTTAGGACTAATTCATTCGGCTATTGAGAGATTAATTTCAACGGAAAAAATAACCTCAGACTACACTAGCCCTAGTTTAATCCCTTACAAATGTTCTCAAGTTTAGCTTGAGTTTTAGGATGATGGAGCCTAATTAGTGAAACCAGTGTCAAGTTGCCAAAGTGATCACATAGCGTGCATAGTCCGGGGTTGTGGGGGAATGTGTAGTTTCTGTGGGTCACATATTCTGGTGGAGAAGCTGGGAGGGAAGAGACTACCTAGTGGCCGGATCCGGTGATCATCTCGGCAGGAGAGCTGTCTGGCTGAGTTCAGCCTTAAAAAGAAACTCTGCGTGGACTGGCCACCAGGAAAAGCGTTAGTTTGTTTAAAACTGCTAGAAATTCAAGTGCCTGTTAGTTCCACGACGTCATCCTCCGGTCACCCCCTACTCAGTCCCGGTGGGTTGCCCCGGTCTCTGCTCAGCTTCACCTCGAGCTCGATGACAACACTCTTCCTCAATCCCATCATCACCAACTTCCCTCTCCCTCTCCACTTACTGCAACTTCTCCTCCTCCTCCTCCTCTTTTCCTTCTCATCCTAAATCGAACCCCCCCACTCACCCTCCCTACAAGATGTCAACATTTGAGGCTCTGATGGACTTGGCCTCCAAACAAACCAAGGAATCTCAGATCGCATTTGCCAAAGAGAACCAGATCCGACAAGCTCGAGAAAAAGTGAAACGACTAGAAGAAGAAAGGAAGGAGAAGGAGAGGATCAGGTCTGATGGCTCTCTTGATCTGATACGGTCCTTGTGAAAAACCAAAGCTGACTTGCACCATCTTCTGTTGACCGCTTCTGATATAGGCTAGAGAAGGAGAGACTGGCCAAGAAAAAATTAGAGGATGAAAAGAGGGAGAAGCAGCTCATCGAGGAACGTCAGAGGAGACAAGCAGATCGTCTATCAACGGCTGAACAGACACGCAAACAACAAGATTCAGACTCAACCAACCGTGCCTCGAGCTCCCGAATGAACAACGGACCAAGTCCAAGCTCTCGTCACCGGGCCACAACTCGTCCATCTAGCTCAACTCCCACCAACTTCGACGTAGATCCAGAAGAGAAGCGTCGACTCGAGCGAGAGGAAAAGCAAGCCAAAGCACGAGCCAAACTCTTCGGCGAATCCGTCGCTGCTCACAAGAAACCTACCCCTTCCCGCTCTTCTGCCAATACTTCTCAGCGTACTAATCCTAGCTCTAAGGGTAAAGCGCCGATGAGGGGAACCGCCTCAGGGAATAACTCAAAGATTGCACTAGGAACACCTGCAACTATCACAGCCCGTCAACGGATAGAACAAACTTTTTCTGCCAGTGAACGGAAACCTCTCAGTCAGACTAAGAGAGATCGACGAACCATCGAAGAAATTGAACAAGACATGAAACGCAAGAAGGTTGAAGTAGGCACTCAAGCCATCAGACCTTCGAAAGAAACTTCATTCAGTTCATCATTCACCGAGAAAAGAATTCTTATACCCTTGAAACCCGTTGCAAGCAGCTCGACGCTCAGGGAAGCCAACAAGAATCCCCGTCCGCGATCTGAAACGGTCTCGGCTGTCAAAAGAAAGGCCATCAATGGCTTACCTACCCCATCCTCCAAGCGCCCTCAATTACCAACGAGCCTACCTAAGGATAGCAAGCCGAACGGCTCGCGCCCTCTTCCCCAATCACGATCAGGCTCGCACAGCGGCCGTCGACAGGACGCAACGGTGTCTGATGAGGACGATGATTCGTCTAACAGCGAGGAAATGTCTGAACATGGTGAAGATGTGGCCCCCTCGGTGCGGGATGAGATATGGAAGATCATGGGCAAAGATCGGAGACAGTATACTGCTAAGCCGATCTTCAGTGACGAGGAGGATGATATGGAGGCGGATGCAGATGATGTGCTTGAAGAGGAAGGAAGAGCGTCAGTAGTCTCCCTGGGCTTTCTTCTTCTCTTTTGATCCATTTGAATTCTATTTTCTAACTTCTGCATTACTCGTTTTTTTTATCTCCCCTTTGATATTTCTTTCATCTTCGATGATCTCTCCCCCACAGTGCTCGTTTGGCTAGACTTGAGGATCAGCGAGAGGAGGAGCGTCTGAGACAACACGAACTGGAAAAGAAAAAAAGACTCTTGCAGCGTCGTCTTTCAAAGTAAACAGACAAAAAAAAACTGAGGCCAACGGATAGTCACATCAAACCTTTAAGCTTACTCATCAGTTTTTTTTCTTATTTGTTTGTCTTTCTTTTTGTTCTTTAAAAAATTGTGTTTTATAGTTTCCTCTGATCTTTTGTTCATCGTTCATAGAAGATCCATCTCTGTTTTTTTCCCTAGCTTTAATACTGTGCATTTTTTGTTTGTTTGAAAAGTTATCTTCTGTTTTTGTTTGTTTTGTTCTTGTTCTTTTCTTTCGCAACAACACATGTTAAAACTCCTTACTTCGCATACCCAAAAATACCAATAAATGCTGAAAAGTTACTTGTAACCAACCTCATTGAATGACACCCTGTGCTCTTTTATGAGATGTATGTGCACACTAGCAATATTGAGGCCTCTACATTTGTTATGGTCTGAGTATACTTGAAATCAGATCCAGACATCCAAAACCAAACTATAAAAAAAGGTTTTGATTAGTATTATTTTTATTTTTGAGAACTCTTGGACTCTATTTCTGCCCATTTCCTTCCTGTCTGCAAACTCATTTGGGATCAGTCTACTCCTCAACAACAATGTAACAAGATTGCAGAGCTACCAATTGCTGATTATGAAATGCTTTTTCAAGAAAAAAAATGGATGTATACAACATGACAAATAATTCTACATGATTTGTATCAATCAGGAAAAACTTATTTAGAAAAAAAAAGAGTACTACAAGTTGCTGAGAAAGATTCAAGAATTATTGATAATAGAATCCGGGTCAAAACAATTTGAACCAGACAGAAGAGTCAGAAATGTATTTATCCATCAAATCCAGCATGAATTGGGAGTCCTTGTCATTCAGATTCTTTAAAAAAGAAATTTTGTCAGGCATCCCAAGCTTCTCAGATGGAAGATTCATTGGAGTGAAATCAAAGAATTCAACACCTTCACATACATCTTCCTTACAGGATCCTTGATAGCAAGCATCAAATTATTGAATAGTTGATGAATATCAATATCTCTTGAAAATTCCACAGTATGAATGTTTTCTTTGGAAAGACAAAAGCTACATGTGACCTTATAATTTTTTTTTTTTTTTTTTTTTTCATTTGGTCATAAGTTATCAGGGATGGTTTGAATCTTGTAATGAAAAACAAAATTCTTGTGGCTAATCTGGCAGTTGGATTGGATGTTTGACTGCAATTGTTTGAGTAGTTCTGTGTTGCAAGTCATCTATGAGTTTATAAACATGACCTAGTTGTCCTGGCCATGAGCCATTAAACCTTGTATACTGAATTCTGGTCCCCCCCCCCCAGAAAATCAGTATGTTAAAATGCCTGTTGGTTCTTTCTCAGTTATACATCCCAGTTCAATATGCAAGCCTCAAATTTGACATTTTTTACTTCTCCTGTACACAATCAATTTCACAAGGATTTTTCAGACTTGAAAAGCTTACAGAAATGAAACAAGCAATCATGGAGAGACTATGAACCTTACCCATGTAAACAAGGACCAGCCTGCCCGCAGATTTTTCCTGCAACCTCTTTGCAGTTCAGCAAAGGACAGCTTTCTTCTTTATCTTCTCTTATGTTTCTGATGGATTTCCTGGCTCGCATTAGGACCACCGGGCTTTAATTACAAAGCCCCCAACTGTGGCCTCAGCTTTTTTCCAAAGTCTTGGCCCAAGTACGTGTTGGCAGGCTTCTCCAGAGCCTGGACCAAAATTTAGTGCTTTTGGAAAAACTCCGACTCTTGGCAGCAAGTGACTTTCTGAAAGCATGTGAGGGAGCTTCCTGTTCATCAAACATCTTATCCGCCAAGTGGTTGCTAACGGAAACTGCGATTCGATCGAGCAGGCCTCTCAACCAATCAAATGGCCCTTGATCTTTGTCTAGCCATGTTATTTATGATGACAAGATTTATCACAGAAAGGTGGGCAGATTGGCTTTATTTTCTTTACTGTGAGATGATGTAGAAAGTGTTTCAAAGAAACTTGAAATGCGCGTAGACGTCCCAGACCCTGCTGACCAAGACACTTACGTCGCGAGGCTTGAGAGAATGAGCTGAGTAAATGTGAAGTGCCTGATATAACCGTGATTGTGGATTGCGCTTTTGGGCCTGGGCCCCATCTTGCCGCATCGATGAAGTTGATGGGATCGGTTGGATAATGATCAAATGCGCCAGGGATGAATAAAACTGGAATCTGTGCTTTCTCGCACCAGCTGGCGCCTCATCGAAACTAAGTTTGGGATTGAAATGTGGGACTTCCCATGATTGATGCGCTTAAAAAGGATTCAAGCCAGTTGTACTGAAGATCCATACAAATACATACCCTCACCCACCTCATTGCCGTCGACAATTTTGCGTTTGGATGGGCGTGATTGAGCTGGGCGATGCCTGTAAAAGCAGTTTTAGGGTGTCAGCAAGAAACTCTCTGGAGGCTGTAAGGTCTCGGCCGGAAGTAATGAAGAGTAGGCGTACATAGTGAAGAGTATCCCGGCAGCGCGTTGCTAGCAACTCCACAGAGCACATCTGAAGCTCTCACAAATCCACATACTCCTGTGAGCTTGTGCTTACCGATCTTGAATGTTATATTCACCTCTGCACCATGTTTCTGGGGTTATGGATTCTAGACTCTCAGTCTCGAGAGAATAAACTAAGTTAAGGTAAGTGAGCAGCTGCAGTGTCGACAACCCCAAAAAGCAACAATCAAGCGCGTCAGCGCCAAAACTAAATCATCGGAGTTCCGCACATACACGCACATCTGAAGCTCAGTGTGAGCCTTGAGGTTCTCACCCTCTTCACGCCTGTTCTTACAGGTTCTTACACTTCCAACCGTCCACGATATAACCCCCTCAGCTGGCCTCTAGCATTCGAAGATACCCCCCACCGAGAATAGTCAGATTGCCGGCGAAATTGTCGATTTCTCTTGCTCAAATTCCGTCAAGGTGAAACCAGCAGGTGTTGATGAAAAGAAGGACATATGATAAGCTTTCAGTCTAGCCTTAGCTGTCCAGACTGGCAGCTTGATCATTTGTTCTTCTATTTATCAACACCTAGTGGTCTTATGTTGAAGGAATTAGGACAAGGGATTTGGCGGAAGATTTCAGGTGTCGATATTTTTCACTAGCCACGTCTCAGCTCTCCTAGCTCTCTCCATCTTCCAAAGTTATTTTTCGACTCGACACGGTTTAAGGATACATTGCTCATGACACTATGGTGAGGTTCCCACTTTGTTTTGAAAGACACGACATGCTTAATCATAGTTAGAAGCTCGCTTGATATTCATTACATTTAGGATAAGTACTCAAGATGTTCCTTTGCGTCTCCGCTATTTAGTCGACTGCCTCCTTTCCTTGGGCCCTCTTCCCGGGACCCTGTTAATGAATCGACCAAACGACTGAATCGACATCCAACTAAGAACGTGGAAAGCATCAGTTCAATCAAATGGACATGAACAAGAGGGAAACTTCCTTGCCGATGTGATGTTCCACTAGCCGATAACGCCTATCTGCTTTTCGAACTTTTCCTCGGGATGCGAGATTTTGATCACTTGACTTCCGCTAAACTGTTAGAACTGCCTCTTCGATGGTTAAGAATCGTATTGATGGAACGAAAGAAAATGATTCTGATCAGTTCCATTTGCTTTTCTCACTCAGACCGTGGATATGATCATACCTTTTTCTCATCATTGGTGGCCTGGAAGCCAGTTGAATTGTCATTTCGGCAAGGAGCTCTCTTTCTTCCCTCTTGAACGTCTTGTGATTAATTGACTTCTTACTACCATGTTAAACTGTATTTGCTCAGCAAGTTATAGGCAATAGCTGGCGGTGTCTGCGTGTCACCACAGCTAACAATGATAAGAAGATCACGGAGTGAGTCTACATACCCTCGCTCGCAGAAAGTCTGATTTGGTTTCCTATCCATGCGCTAATGGAGCATCACAGCTTGGGCGCGACTTGCCATCCGCGAAACGCATGTTCGGACAAGGCATGGGCCAACCCATGACGCGACGCATCGGGAAAAGGCCAACATGCTAGACAAAGAATAGATCACGATACCGATTGATCCAACAAATGCAACAACGCGTCCATCCGAAGTCCTTATTTTTTTGGCCAGCACAAGTGTTGCCAGCGTCGAAAATCCAAATTTACATTGACTCATTTGAAGATTCCACTTGGCAGGATCCATGGTCCAATGAAGTAATTCTGCAGAGACGCGTCGATTGAAAGTTGACATTCATCCCAGTCCTGGAGTCGTTTATGGATGAGGACGCCACCCGAAGTTTTGAACCTCGGCGAGGAGCTGAGGAGCACCCAATCAAATGATCTTGAGTTATAAATATATATGTGGCGGTGTTAAAGTCATTTCAAGCCCTCCATTGCTAGAATTGACTTTGGCCCGAAGGTCCGGATGATTTCTCCAGTGAGCATTTAAAGACGGTTATAATTACTGGTCGAGATTTTGATACTGAGTTATCGAGGACCGATCTGTCACCAGCACACCTTCCCGTTTCAATCTCCTATTGACTACGCGACGGTCCGGGTCACATTTTCAGTACGCCGGACAAGTCGATTTCGAATGGTCATGATTCGTGAGCTAGAATTGTGCAGGATTGATGTGTATCTAGCCCCTGTCGCTAAGAATCTGAAAGTGAATAGATGTCACGTTAGCTTCTTTTACCGCTTGTCGGCCTCTGGGTCCATTATGTTTGCTTTTTGCGATTACCAAGTAACAGAAGACGTACTGCTTGGTTTTCGTTTCAGCTTTGAAAAGCCTCAGATCAAGTGCTGGAATGTCTGACAACCAGGAAGCTAGATTACGAGTGGGCCAATGTACATAATCGTTGTCTTCGGCTATAGGAGTCAGGTGCAGTCGAGAATCTGGTTTTGCGTTTTGATTTCCGGTTAGCCTGAGATGATAAAGCGCTGACTATCCAACCGCTTGCAGGAGAAGGCGATGTTCAGCAGGTTATAACTTTACTTGGGATTTTCAATTGGAAATCATTTGGGCATCCAAAAGCCGATTTGAATCGATTGCCATAACGTCTGGTAGAAAGCCTTGGCAAGAAACTGGACCACGGTAAGACTAGTGAAACCGTTTGAAATATAGACGGGCGCTGTAAATGTGGATTGGTTTCCTGATGGCGATACTTTTCATTAAGTGCGAAGGAGTCGGCGTCATCCCACAACTTGAGGGAAGGTGTCTTCGCGACTGGATTTCGGTTTGTATCAGGGTCGCCTCCACCAACTGACGGTCGACGAATAAGAGAAAGGTTGAACGATAGACGCCAGAGTAGTAAAGTGTTTTGTAAGTCAATTTTCCAACCTTTTCGCCAACGGGGATCAGTCGCTTATCCTGAATTATTTGATAATTCCCATCGCTGCTTCACAGATAGATTCGTCATAGCCGTCAGACTGATTTGGATCACATCCCGAATGGCCTGGTTCGTATTATCGTTGATAACTCGAGAGCCTTTGGCCTGTGAGGTTCGCGCTTAGTCGCATGTTGTAGGCGTGTTATCTGAATTTTCGAGGTGGTTGATGCTTGGTTTAAATACCCGGTCCAATCTGTTTGTAGCCATCTCTTAACATCAACGGATCCAGCAGAACGGGCAGGGGCCACGCGGTTATCGGCTTAAACAGGTGACATTTCGACAGCAAACCCGCAAAGCATTTAACTGCAGCTTTGTTCCAGTGATGTATCCTCAATCTTGACTTGTCTGACACAGATCTTAAAAACAGTCTTGATCGTTTGTTCATCACCCAGAGTCCCATGGACGTCATCTAAACCACATGTCTTACGGGGACTGATACCAATTGCTTTGGCTGGATCGAAAGGATATCTGCAAGATCCTCCAGCTGAGCTCAAGACCAGCTCGAGTCAAATATTCGCTGTGAAAAACAAGCCATTCGTTGGCTAACGTAAGGGTGACACTGGTAGCAAATGTGGGTACATAGTTGCTTTGCAAGGCAAAAGCAGGTCTGATTCTGATCAAGCAGTCGAGACATGTTGGTCAGGTTTTGAAGTGCCAATAACCTGATGTTGATCAGTCAAAGCTCATCGAGTCTATCTACTCATGTGACCACTTCTTTTCTATGTGATAATTTGCTTGGTGCCTCAAGCTTTTCGAGTTCTTGGATGGTGAAATCTAGCACATAGCACATCAAAAACTGCCGATGGATCTGTAAGAAATCCATGGGACCTTGTGGAATTCAAAAAGCAAAAACAAGAAAACAAGACGTAGATTCATACGCTTTCATACCAGATGCGAATTGTTCTACTTAATTCTTTTGATCCTACGTTACAATTGAAAATTTATTCACCCGATTTGGGGGAGTGTTATGCGTTGCCCAACTTCCGTTTAACTTGAAGGAGATTGCTCTTGTCAAGTGAGGTTTGAAGCCTTCGATTAAATGTTTGAAATCAATCTATGGCACGATTGAAAAAATGACATTGCATTGCAGTAATAACAGATGGTGGTACTTCTTCTACTCATCATCACCAATGTTGCGTGGGTCAAATCTGCAACTAGAACACGAGAAAAAGACAAACATGGATGATGGCACTTAATCACATGGATGAGTGGAGTGTTTAGGGGTCTTTTCTTTGACAGGGTCCAAGAAACTCAAGGTGATGGGTTAGATAGGTAGCCATTCCACAGGCTCCCTCCCAAGAATAGTCTGGGCAGCTTGCGCTCGGAATATCTATCACTTGATGATTGTCAATGCCTTCCTTTGACCTCGTCATCCGTTGATCCCGATGCGGGGGCCGACGGAAGCGGGTCAAACTCAGGTCTTCACCCAGTCCCGGGCCTGCCCAGGGGGGTCGGGTATACGTCATCTGAACCGGCACAGGGGATGATCGAGTCGGTTGATCACGTAATCAAGCATCCGATCCGATTCATGTGAATGGCCTGAGTAAGCAAGCAGCCTTAAAACCCCAACTCAAGCACAATCAACCACCGCGGTCACCTCATCACCATCAACCAGTCCGGAATACGCACTCGAGGACCAACAGGTGTACATACATAGCAGGTGAATGTTTTTATCTATTGTACCTCAACTCATTCCTAATTGTCGATTGGGATAACTGATCATCTCGTCCATCGAATTTGGCTATGATGCAGTCAAGCGACCGCCGCCCAATCGACAGATCCTATCATGTTGACCACGCTTCGTCATCGTCAGCGATGGGCTTTCTCCCGCCATGCGTTTGGTTCCTACGGCACTCTCCAGAAAACGCATGCCAGTTCCTCATCCCACCCTCTGAATCATCCCCAACATCATCCGCCGCCATTCTCAAGATCAGTCGAAGGTAGAACTCATCTAGAACCTTGTCAGTTCTTATCCTTACATAATACTAATGGTTTACCTTCTCTTACATCAACAGGGATAAGTCGAACCAACGATCGTCTCCAGTCTACTCATGATCTGTTTTCCATGGATCACCAATCGAACCAATCAAGAACAAATTCACTCATCATCCCCTCTTATTCTCACTTTCTTACAACTCAACAGTCAGAACCATACCAGCAAATCTTTCAGCTTTCATCCTCCAATTCTTCTTCCAAGGATAATCCTAACAATAATCAATCTCCAGCGGGAGCGTCCTCCGGAAATCCCTCCTCACCAGGGGGCCAAGACGGTGCTAACTCAAATGACGATCCTCCTCAAAAGCCTCCGACGTCCATATCTAAGCCCACAATACCTGAAGTCTATCCCGAGGTGCTTGCCTTACCGATCACCCGTCGACCACTCTTTCCTGGTTTCTACAAGGCCGTCATAATCAAGAACCCTGATGTGATCAAAGTGGTTAGAGAAATGATGAAACGGGGTCAACCTTACCTGGGCGCGTTCCTGCTCAAGAATTCTGAATCAGAAACCGATATCATTTCCGATCCTGAATCTGTTTATAAAGTCGGTGTGTTTGCTCAGATTACTAGCATCTTTCCTACTAACTCAGCGAAGAAAGATCACCCCAGCAACCTGTCGAAGACCGCACCGAAAGACGACGAAACAGATGAGTATGCTGACGGTCTGACTGCTGTCCTCTATCCTCATCGAAGAATCGAGATCACCGAACTCTTGGTTCCCGAAGTTGATCCATCTGATCCCGCAAAAGTCAAACACTCCATCCAACCTGTCAAACCTACACCGATCGCACCCGTCAAAGAGGATCTTATAGTAACAGATAAACTTACCGATTCCTTGCCGGAGACTTCTACGACCACCTCACCAAATCCTTCAATACTCAAGCAGTCCTCTTCCTCCACCCCGAAGGAAAACGATCATCCCACGGCAGAATCGGACGAAGAGTCCTTAACTTCAGCTGCACTACTTCAAACCAGTTTCCTTAAAGAGCATCAAGTCTCATTGGCAAACGTGAAGAACTTGTCATTACAACCATTCAAAAAGAATTCACAAGTCATTCGGGCCATCGCATCTGAAATTATCAACGTATTCAGGGATATTGCGACGTTAAACCCGCTTTTTAGGGATCAGATTGCCAACTTCAGTATCTCCCAAGGATCTGGAAACGTTTTTGAGGATCCCGACAAGTTGGCCGACTTTGCAGCTGCAGTCAGCACATCACCCAGCTCGGCAGATGGCAGTGAATTTCATTTTAACGAATTACAGGAGGTCCTAGAATCTATGGTTTTAGAGGAAAGGCTTCAAAAGGCTCTGTTTGTTTTGAAACAAGAACTGAAGAATGCGGAACTACAATCGAAAATCTCTCGCGAAGTGGAATCAAGGATCACGAAGCGTCAAAGGGAATTTTATCTGATGGAACAGCTCAAAGGCATTAAGAAGGAGCTCGGAATCGATGGGGATGGGAAGGATAAACTGATCGAGAAATTCAAAGAGAAAGCCCATGGACTGAATATGCCTGAGTACGCCAAAAGTGTATTTGATGAAGAACTTAGCAAGCTCCAGACTTTAGAGCCACAGGCTAGTGAGTTCAACGTGACCCGAAACGTAAGTCGTGATATAAAGATTTTCAGCAGTCTTATGCTGGAGATTGACGTAACTCTTCTCTTAGTACTTGGATTGGTTAACATCGATTCCTTGGGGCCGACACTCAGAAGAGAATTTCGATCTTCAGCACGCCATCAAGGTCTTGGACGAGGATCACTACGGTCTGAAAGAGTACGTACATGATCGTCATTCTGCTATTGATGACCTGAAATTGATTTTCCGAACGCTTGTATCAGTGTCAAAGATCGGATCTTGGAATTTTTGGCAGTGGGAAAGCTTCGAGGAACTGTTGAAGGTAAAATCCTATGTTTGGTGGGTCCACCGGGTGTAGGTAAAACATCGATCGGGAAGTCGATTGCCAGGGCTCTAGATCGACAATTCTTTAGATTCTCAGTTGGCGGTTTGACGGATGTCGCTGAGATCAAAGGTCATAGAAGAACTTACGTCGGGGCCATGCCTGGAAAAGTAATTCAATCTCTCAAGAAGGTTCAAACCGAAAACCCATTGATACTGATAGACGAGATCGACAAGGTTGGCAAAGGCCATAATGGCGATCCGTCTTCGGCATTATTAGAGATGTTGGACCCAGAGCAGAACAGCAGCTTTCTGGATCATTACATTGACATTCCTATCAACTTATCCCGAGTCTTGTTTGTCTGCACAGCCAACGTGCTCGACACTATACCGGCACCTCTCTTGGATCGAATGGAAGTCCTGGAGGTCAGTGGATACGTCACAGACGAAAAGATCAACATCGCCAGCAAGTATCTTTCACCTCAAGCTAAAGAATCTTGCGGATTTGGCGACTCGGATGTCAGTATCGATCAATCCGCAATCGATACACTGATACGTTACTACTGTCGTGAATCTGGAGTCCGGAAGCTGAAGCAAAACATCGAGAAGGTGTATCGTAAGGCGGCCCTGAAGATTGTACGAGAGCTTGGCGAGAAGGTCTTACCAGAATCGTCTGCGGAATTCGTTTCGCCACCGAACGATACATCGACTGTGAAAGGAGACAGTGTGATAAAATATGATGGCGATCTCCCGGCATCTCAATCAAGTAACGAGTCAAGTTCATCCTCTAGTTCACAGCCCTCATCGTCATCATCAACATCATCAACATCATCTTCAGCTTCATCATCTTCGACCTCTACCGATTCAGCCTCCGAGAAATCCAAGTCAACTGGAAGTGAAAGGCGGACGACGACGGAAGTCCGAAAACCACTGAAGCTACCCAAAGACCTATCAATTCACATCAGTCAAGAGAATTTGATTGATTATCTTGGTCCTCCGATTTACCAGAAGGATCGATTGTATACCACCCAATGTCCGATCGGAGTATCACAAGGACTGGGGTACACAGGTAATGGATCAGGAAGTTTGATGCCGATCGAGGTGAAGTTGATGCCTGGATCATCCGGGGGAGGGTCGTCGATCCTTCTGACGGGCAAGTTGGGCGAAGTGATCAGAGAATCGGCCCAGATCGGCTTGAGCTTCTTGAAATCTAATGCGCGCAACTTGGGCCTGACCTCCGAAGATCATCAGGATCTCTTGGAGAAAAAATCTCTCCACTTGCATATGCCCGAAGGCTCGATCGGTAAAGAAGGCCCCTCCGCTGGAACGGCAATCTTGGTCGCTTATCTTTCTCTTTTCTCGAACTTTCGAATTCGCTCGGATTTAGGTTGGTAATTTCTTATCGGACCAACCTCTTTGTCCGATAAAGTAAATGAACTGATACCATTTTTATTTTTCATTTTTCATTTTTTTAAAATCCCTCAAATTTGGACTGGATGTTATTGTAGCTATGACGGGTGAGATGACTCTAGCGGGCCAAGTTTTACCAGTGGGAGGCTTAAAGGAGAAGATCTTAGCAGCCCATCGGGCGGGGATCAAGAAGATCTTAGTACCGGCGGCCAACAAGCCAGACATCGAACACAACGTGAGATCACCTTTTTTACTCAGTTAGTCTGTAGTGATGTTAATGGTTACTAAATTCCCATTTACCGGTTTTTTTTTTTGAAAAATTCTTAGGTTCCTGATTCAATCAAGGAGGGAATCGAGATTGTGTATGTGGAGGATGTTCGCGAAGTCATCAAACATGCATTCCATGGTCACCCTAAAATTTTGAATAACTTAGATAAATTAGGTAATTGGTTTCTCTCCTCTTATAACCTTTGCAAGATTCCTTGACTGACTTGAAATTTGATGTTTTTTTTTAGAAATGGTTGATTTGTCAAATTAGAACATCTTTTTTATTTCAAAACTTGTTGTTATCGTGTTCTTCTTCTGATGAGAGTTTTTCAATATATAAACATTTTTGCATTTTTTTGCTTAGTTTTGGAGTGGATGAGTGAATTCAAGTGACGGTTCAAATCCTGAGGCAAATTTCTTATTCAAGTGAGGTCAACAGAAGCAAACGTGTGCTTGAAGTTAAGCTTGAGGAAATGCCCAGTGATAATTTCCATTCCAAGTTTAATATGTATGTATAGAACAACGATAATATTTCCCAGCTTGATGATTTTTGAATCTCGGATGTGATGATCTACGTAGCTCGATCATCCTCGATGTATGTGTTATTGGAGATAAGTTTAAGGGGTGGTCACTCAAGATTGATGTGAATTATGTATTTAAATAGTGCTGGGTTTGATTTTCAAATATGTAGATAAACATTTAAATAATAATTTGTTTTGAGGTGTTTGAGCCCACACGATTTTCTTGATCACTCATCTCAGTCACATATTAGCTAGAGACAAAGAGGTTCTTGTGAAACAGATTCTTTATGAGTCATACATACACATTCTATATTGTAAGTTGTAACAAAAGAAAAGAAACAGAAACTTCTTGAGCGTTCTGTGTTGTTGCACAGCTTGACCAGGATGGTTCAGGTTCATAAACATGTACCCTTCATACAATATTTGCCATCCAGCTGCAGGGTAAAAGTGTGTATGTATTCCCATTCATACAGTGTTTTCTCGCTCGGTCCGACAGCCATATGTATGTTGTATGTATTGCCAGTTGGGTGTGAGTTGTTGAACGGACCAAATCAAAATCAAAAAATTCAAAACTGTCACTTCAGTATTAAAGGGTAAAGTACATCATTTTATATGTAGGACAAAACCCAGACTTAAACCAACCAAAACTGTAGGCTGTGGAGCCCATCGACTTGGAACTTTCCTTCCTTCAGAAAAAACCCACTACGAGCACCAACCTCGCCCTTCAAGAAAACCACACCCTCCTTCTACTCCCTTCCTCCCTCATCCTCATCCTCATCCTCACTACTCTCATCTGAACGATGGGCGCATTCTGTTGCAAACCAGAGGTAAATCAAAACAACTTGCTCTTCATCCTCCTCACCCACCGCTTACCCATCCATCCCTTATACTATTCCTCAGGAAATCGACTTCGATGGTCCTGTTGACCTCTGGCATTTCTATCTACTCAGATCGGTCGGTAAAGGTGCTTTCGGCAAGGTAAGCAGCAGATCAGAAGAAGAAGAAGCATGAAAACCAGACCACCCAATGCTGACTTGACTGACTTTTGACTGGTGTTTCAGGTCCGAGTGGTACAGCATAAACAAACCAAAGCACTCTACGCACTCAAATATATCAACAAGCAAAGAATCGTCGCACAGCGAGCAGTATCAAATATCATCCAAGAGAGAAGACTACTCGAGGAGATCGACTCGCCCTTCGTCTGTAACTTGAGATACGCATTCCAAGACGATGAAAACCTGTTCATGGTCTTAGACCTCATGCTGGGTGGCGATCTCAGATTTCATTTGGATAGGGTCGGCCTCATGAAGGAGGAGGTCGTTCGGTTTTACGTCTGTGAGATGGCTCTAGCCCTCGATTACTTACACTCCAAAGGGATCGTACATCGGTTAGTAATCAAGAATCCGCCCTCATCTCTCTCTCTCTTCTTCATAATCCTTCACTGATCCAATCTATTCTTATCTCCATCGATCTCTATCTGACGATCATCAACACAGTGACCTGAAACCTGACAACATCCTCTTGGACGAACGCGGACATGCACATCTGACCGATTTCAATATTGCCGTGCACTTCACCGAACGAAGAGCCCTAACCTCCGTAGCTGGCTCGATGGCCTACATGGCCCCCGAAATCCTTGCCAAGAAGGGCTACACATGTACCATCGATTGGTGGTCACTCGGTGTCGTGGCCTTCGAACTGTTATTTGGGAAGCGACCGTTCAGAGGCAAGACGAATAGCGCTCTGACAAATGCGATCACTCGTGATGAACCTCGATTTCCTGATACCCTGCCTCAGACTATCAGTCCAGACGCACTCAACTTCTTAGAAAAGATCCTACAACGTGATATTAATAAACGGATCGGATGCAAAGGATCTGGTGGAATGTCAAGGTTGAAGACTCATGATTGGTTTCGTGATGTGAATTGGGATCTGATGCAAGAATTGGGTGTCAAACCACCCTTTGAACCTGATGTAAGCTACTCTTCAATCACTTACTCATTGATTTCAATCACTGATATATGTGTTCACTCGGGGTTTCTACAGTCCAAGAAAGCGAACTTTGATGCGACACACGAGTTGGAAGAGTTATTACTAGAGGACAATCCACTGAAGGCAAAGAAGCGGAATCCGAACTTGAATATCGATTCGATGTCAGCCGATTTCAGATTGATGGAAGAGAACTTCTTAGTCTATGATCATGCGAAGATGTCCAGAAGGTCATGGTTTGTCGAACCCGGAGCAGAGACCAAGACGAGCGAAGTGACCCCGAGCACCTTCACTGCCTCCATGAGCATCGTCCCGGCTAAAATCCCAATCGATCAGCAACCTTTGGCCGAACTCAAAACCGACTCGCTCTCTCATGAACTACCTCCGACTTGATCCCTCGTCATCCCTTGTCAAAGAAGAAGAAGAAGCAGATGAAAAATTGAAGAAAGGAAAGAGTTAAAAGAAACTCTCACCTATAGGAATACCATCATCACCTCCAATACTCTCGGCCACTCTCTCGTCTTAGAACCTTAGACCCCCTCCCCCTCCTCCATTTCTTCTTCTTTAGTCTTTATCAGTTCAGGAAGAATGTTACAGTAGAAGTTTTTTGTTTCAGTTCGCAACTCGCCAGGTCTTCCTTCCCCGCGTCCTCTCCTCTTTCTACCGAGATCGGCTTTCACATTCTTTTTCTCTTCTTTCTATTCCTCTCTTTTTTTTCGTTCAAGGATCCTCTCTTTTCCCTTTCCTGGATTGATTTCTTCTTAGATATGTGCTTCCGTCCTTAACGTACTCTAATCGGAAAAGAAGGAGAAAAATCTGCCATCACTGCTACTACTCGCTCCATACTTTCCTTCGTCAATCTCACCTCCTTGAATTAATAACCTTTTCTCCTCTCTTTCCCTCCCCTTCTTTTCAAGCACACTTTCCTCTCTCTCTCTCTCTCTCTCAATCTCTCTCTTTTTTGTTGCTGTCCAGTTATCTACCTATGACTACTACCACCACTACCATCACCACAAACAAACCAACAAAAAAACTTACAACTTATTTATTCTCGTCATCATCATCTTGGAAACTTTTGTTTTTCTTTCTTTTATACAACTCTCTCTTCGTTTATGATCTCCATTCATTTGTTTGTTTGCTTATGTATTTGACTTTTACACTCTCCTTATAACGACATCAATTGATCAAAGTCTCCAAAGGAAACACAAAAAAATCAAGGCAAAACCAAGGGAGGGAATCAGAGGAAGATGAAAAGAAACTGAAGATGAAAATGGATGTGCTAGTGATTAATCTTTGTTTAGTTTTATCCTCTCTTTTTCATTGAATACTAGTTTTTTGTTGGTTACTCTCACTCTTGTTTCTTTTTTTTCTTTGTCTTTCTCTCTCTCTCTCTCTCTTTTACATTTAAAGTTTGTTGTATACAGATTTTGTTCTTTCAGTTCCAGCTTTTTGTTTTAGGGTTTTTTTCTTTTTCTTTTTGTGTCTTTGTTTGAACTTGTTTCTCTATGTTCTTCCTCCACATGTATAGTGAAGTCCAGCAAACCCAATACATATTCAAATTTTCTGAAAAAACAAACAACACCTCCTCCACCACCACGTTCCCTTCCCTTCCCTTGTTTTTTTCTTTCTTTGGTCCTCTCTCACTCATTTTGTTTTGGTCTTTTTGTTTGTTTTGTTTTTGTGGGAAGGAAGGAGTCTTAGAGCATCTCCACCGCAGGTGGTAAATCCGGAGTGGTAAACAAAGGATTTACCACCCGCGTTCCAGAGTTGCCACCTGAAATCAGGCAGGTGCGCCACCGCAAAGTGGCAAACCTGCACTGAGATTGAATGAGCGAGGTCGAGTGAGGGGTACAGTTGACTCCCTATTAAACCATACCCCTTGGTGGACATGTTTTGCTATGGGTTAAGGGAGAGTATGGGTTAATAAGTCAAGTTTTTAGGCATTTTTCCCATTTTGGTGGACAAATTTCCTAGAAAAATATATGGCATAAGAGGGGTTATGGGTTAATAGGTCATGGTTTAAGAGGGAGTCGACTGTATTTGTATGTGAACGGGTTGCGATTATGGGGGTTTCACAAGATGGAGGGTGGATATCACGGATCCCACAGCGGTATCAAGGGAGGTACCGGGGTGGTAGATCTACCACCTCGGTACATTTTTTGGACTGAAAATGTAGCTTACCACCCCGCATACCACCCGCGGTGGTGGGGTGTTTTGGGAATTGGGGTGGTAAACGGGGCTTACAACCCCGATTTACCACCCGCGTTGGAGATGCTCTTAGAAGATATAAGATGAAGGAACATGGATTTTGCAATACAATACAATACAACTATGGGTGAGTAGTTGTACATATTTATACATCTACATGAGGAATGTACAATAAATACACACTTCCGCTTTGATTATCTGCACTTCTTCTAGACCATCAAGTCCTACCAATATTGGTTCAATTGACATTTCTTTTTCTTATTGGCAAACTCTCAAGAAGTATTGTACACAAGATAATATGTGGCTTTGATGGGCTGCAGTCACGATTGCTTGGTTTTGGATTTGTTGATTGATTTGTTAGTTAATTATGTAGTTGAGTTGGTACATACATACATACACATCTAATCAAATCCAATTTCCTCAATGATGAAGAAAATGGCTACATTCATAAGATAAATGTTTTTTGTACCATTTGAGAACTTCTGATTGGTACTGCTGCCCCAGAAGAAATAAAGCTTAGACACCCTAAATCCACCTTTTTTGGTGAAAAGAAATGTAATGTTTTCAAATACCTCACCTTTTCAGTTTAAGCTTGTCATGTGTTGGTTATGGCCATGGTTGGGTTGATGTGTGGTGTTGATGTATGATTTAGAATGGCTATCATCTAAGTTAAGGACCTGTGAATGGCTATGTGAATTCCTTATGGATAAAGGCCTGATGGACTTTAAATCAGATTGTGACTATGAAATCTTGATCTGTTAGCTCAGATGGCAATGAGTAGTGAGTCTTGTCTTTAGGACATACAATGGAAACATTCAATTGGATAATGCCAAAAATATAAAACATAACTCAAGTAGATATTGTGTTCTTATTGTAAAAATACAAGCCTAGGAAACTTGTCTTCAATCCTCAAGTGAGAAAGGAGCAGGAATCTCCCTGAGCTGCAGTGCAAGGTAAGCATATGCATACCAAGCTTGGAGTCCCAATTCCAGTAAAGATGGCCTTGTGGTACCCATTGGCAGGTACAGCCTCATTGCTTCCGACCCGCCAACTGGCCCTGGGTGCTGTACCTGGTGTCTGTTTTTGGCCAAAAACATGACCAGTGCCCAGGTATCCTCATAGCTACCCCCTCCAGCCCCCCTGTATAGCTTCAGCTACAGGACATATAGTCCGATATCAGTGGTAGCAGTTGGAAACCAATCATATCCCACCCGCAGTCTGTAAGAACAGGGATATTTCGATTTAGTATGATCAGTGGTGGGCCGCTACGCTATGCTACACTTTTGGCCCAAAAAGCACAGCGTAGCAACACTTTTTTTTGTGCCAAAAAATTGTAGTGCTAGCGTTTTTTTAGCGGATTTTTGCTATGCTACGCTGCGCTACAGGGCCAAAAAAACCGCTAACCAGTGTGTTAGCGTAGCTTAGTGGGCCCTTTTTTGAGGCCTATGCGCATAGTGTTAGTGCAGATGTAGCAGAATTCTGCTATGCTACGCTAAAGTTTAGCAGAATTCCGCTACACTAACACTACGGTTAGTGTAACTGGCCCACCATTGGTATGATTTAAAAAGAAACAGATTTTTCAAATTAAATTTTTGACACAAAGTAATCATGATACCTGCCCAAAGTACTGCCGGCGGGTGCGGTACCTGGTGCCAGTTCTTGGCTAAAAAGCATCCGGTACCCGGGTCCAGATTTAAAAATGCTGATCACTAATTGATCATTAATTTGACTTATGCAGATTCAACAACTGCAATCAAGACATCTCAAATTTACAAACTCAAACAAGCCAGTCAACTGAGGATGATCCTGTATAACACCATTGGTGAGTAACTAGAAAGTCATCAGTAGAGAAGTAGGAAACTGACCAATGATTGTATTTATAGAATTGTTTGACGAAGATTAAGCAATTCAAACAATAGTTTGACCAAACATTTTTGGATCCAACTGAAGATGGTAAGTTGTAGAACTAGAATGAATGTTATCATTTGGAGAAATTGAACAAAAATAAAATAAAGCAAAATAAGAATTAAAGCAACACTGATTGAATTCCTGTCAAAGTTTTCAGGTCTTCCAGAACCAACTTAGAGACCTAAAAGCTATTGAATTGACGGTGCATCCCTCAGCTTTAGCATAGTCATTGCCTGCGGACCTGTAGTGATACTCATAGTTTGCAACCTAATTGAAAACTAATTGTGGTTAGTTAAAATCCAACCGCCTGCCTCCAAGTTGTATGTTCTCATTCATCAAGTCTCATTCTTTCATTACTTCTTCAGGTGTGCTTGCGTATTCTTTCAATCCCCTCTCAGCCTTGTGGTTTGTATTTTTGACCACACTGTTGACATTGTGGATCTATAAAGATCCCTTGAGAAGCTAGTTCTTCTATGAAAGCTAGATAATCCTGAAAATTCCAGACTTTTTGGTTCTAAATTGATATCTTTGACTCAAGGACTGCAGATGTTAGAACAAGTTCTGCACTGATGGATATATTGGGAAATTTCATAAGACTATGATAAGGTATGATCTGGACCCTGAAGATCCAGTGCTACCCGACTGGATACTATTACCAGATCAAGCTAGGTTGCAGATGCATACAGGAGATGTGTTGTATCCAATTGGAGCTATATATCCATAGAAATATGCCCTCTATTGAAGAGGCTTGTTTCATTTGGGGTGTTTGGATATTTTTATTTTTGATTATTTGTTTCATCAAAGGAAAACTATGTTTTGGTTTATCACAGACCATTTGATGAGATTTTTTTTGGATTCACATATCTGCTGGGTATCTGGTGTCAGAGCCAGATATTCCAAGTTTGCATGTTGGGAAGGCCACACCCAAACTGTGAGGCCTAGATTGTACCCTTAGACTAGAATGATTATGACCATGTAACTACAATCAGAGCTTCAATACTACAAGACAGAGGTGGACCAATAGGTCTACCATGCTTGCAGAAATATCTACTATAATAGACTCATCAATAGGTGAAAGTTGAATCATCAATCAAAAAGACCTAAGAAATTAGTGAATGTGGGTTTTAAGAATGGGTTTAGATTAGAGAGAAATTCCAATGCTTTCCCCAATCAACAATCAACTTCAAGTGGGATAGCTTTTGCCAGATTTCCAAGTTGGTCTTCTCTCCAGTAGCCCTGGCCCTGCCACAGATTATTGGTTGAATCCTGAATATTTCCAGGTTGGTCTCCTCTCCAGTAGTTCTGGCACTGCACCAGACTGTTGAGTGAATCCTGACTTGCAAAATTCAGGACTGGACAAACTTGCCACAGAGGAGTCCTACACAGCAAGTAAATGATATTGTACCAGCCCCATATCCCAGATTAAGCCAATAACCTAGCTTCAGCTCAGGCCAGACACAAAAGTTGAAAGCTGGTGTGAATATCATGAACCAACCTTTGGGTCTTCGTTGCCCACTGGTCGAGAATTGTTGTTTGCAGCCCACAGAATGTATTGGACCAGTCTGAACTTATTGTTTGTGACAAATGAGGAGGAACTTTGTATCATGAATTAAGAGTAACAACACTGGTACAAAAGGTGAAAGTTGCACATGAAGCACCGGATTTGCCTCTGCTTGCTCACCACAAATTTTCTCTTATAAATAGTTGTCAGTAAATAACGGAAAAAGCGTCACTGCACCACTACTGATTCAATGAATAAAACTTGGAGTTTGAAACATGTCGACTAAACACACGCGAGCTAAGAAGGAATGTGGAGAAAAAGCTAAGCAAGGAGGGATGGAAACTATCGGGTCGACTGGAACGGAGACACTGTCAAAAATGTAGATTTAGAGGCCCGGGCAGTCTTTGGGCTTTTCGTTAAACCCCATAAGCAGTTGGACGTTTGCAGTATTATTGTTTGCAGAACTCGGAGCCGTATCACGCTTCGACACCTTCGACAAGCTGCCCTTGCACTCATGCAAGAGCTTCATGGCTTGCTCTTGAACAATTGCAGCAGGAATCGAACTGCGAAAAATCGAACAGTCAATCTACGCCCATCAACTAAAAAAGCAAACCCGAACTCACCTGGGTGGTTTGAAGGCTACCTTCTTGTCTGCATCAAACAAGCCGAGCTGTCCAAACGAAAATATTCAAAGGTTCAAAGACTCAGGGTTAGGATATTCAACCGATTTCCGCAAACATAAACACGAGTAACTTACCACACAAGTTCCGCATTGAGCATATGAGCTACCGGCCTCAGCCAAGGCTTTAGCAGCGCTAAGAAACAGGGTCAAATGGTCAGAGCAGGCCCTATAGGTGAGATAAGCCCAGTCAGACTTACTACCAGCAAGCTCTGTCAGAAAATGTTACATTCTTTCCTGTCGAGCTGTTGTGACAGGTGCTGTTAACAATTTGTTCGGGCGCAGGAACATCTGGGAGCGAGGTGGCGGGACCGTCGTTGTTGGCAGGGGCAGTGGAATTATGATTGCTAGCAGGCGGTTCAGTTGGGGGAGTTGTAATGTTCCTGGGATGAGTAGGGTCTGCTTTAGTTCGGTCGCTGGAAGTGTTGTTGGCCTCAACGGGCACCGTTGTATCGGGCTGAGTGTTCGAATCTTCCGCGGTAGGGTGAACAGAAGGGTTGCTAGTCGAATCCGGAGCTGCTGCAGGAAGCTTAAGTGAATCTTGGATCGGGGCATCCATGCCTTTCATGAGAAGCCATGTGGAACCTTTCGGGTAGTATTCCCTTGCGGTAATGCTCGCGAAAAGGAAGACGAAAACTACAGCAAAGAGTGTGTGGTGCATGCTTTTGGACTCTGAGACGAACCGAGTTAGTCGAACGGCGGCGGCTGGACTGTTTGTTTCTGGGGATTACGAGGGTGTGAGGGAAAGATTTCCGGGCACAGAACCCGCAGAAGGTGCTTGGAATTTATTTCATGGCCTTGATCCGCGTGCGAAGGCAGCGTTGGTGCAACCAATTCCACAGCCGGCAGCATCTCCCAGGCCTGTCGCAACTAGGGAAAATCCCACTGGAACACAGCTGAACGCAAGCTCCGACCTTCAGCTTGGTGCAGGGCCGCAGGCTGGCATTGCCAACATTAACGAATGTCCATTCCTACAGCTGTCACCCTTTCTTTCAGTGGACCTGAGTGAACATTGCTTTTAATTTGCTCGCACTGAGTGCTGGACGAGGCCCCACGTCGAGGAGCTCAACGTCATCCTCATGCAGTGTGGTTAGGATTTTTGACATTGGGATTGAGCGTTCTTGACAGTGTCTTGATTCTTGAAGTGAAAGAATTCTTCGGTCCGCATAAACATACGTCATCATGTGAGATTAATCGAGCTCACTATCTCACTTTGATATGTACACGATCGGAACTCGGGACTCGGAAGTCAGTCGACCCGCCCGCGCCGGCAAGGTCTGCCGATCCTTCCAGCCACCCCACCAAGGCCATCCAGGCTCAGCAATTCCTTTATCTGTTGTCTCGATTGAGCGTGTGTTCAGCGGTGATTAGCGATAAGCCTGAAGGGATCTCTTGCCAGATTACAAGTTGAGCGTTTATCAGGATGATGAGTCCGGCGGCGGCGAGCATCCGCCCGGCATCCAATGGTGGTTCGACCGAGTCTGTCTCAAACTTGTGATTTCCTTTGGGGTTATGTATAAGCGCACATCTCACAAACCGGCTCGCTGAGAGTGGAGTGGATTTGAGGCTTCAAAGGATGTATTGATGTACGAGCTGGTCTGTCCTGGGCCTCATTGGCGATAGATCTTCCACCAGCCCCTCAGGAACTGGGCCGAGGAGGGCTCTCATTCGGGAGGACGCCGTTCTCCAATCGGTTGCGATTCTCTGAACCATCAATCAAAGAGGTCTAATTAGCTATGGATAATTTCGTCACAACAACATCAGAGGGCTTGCCAGTCGTCCTTCCATCTCCCGTTCTCGCCGGGAAGCGATAATAACTGTGCCTGCTCCCAGGCTCCTATATGCAATAGATGGAATTCAGGATCCCTGTTCTTCCTTTTCAGGTTTTTGTTAAGACCACTGTAGGTCGGATGTGTCAGTCGTCTGGATGTTTTCAAGAGAATCCCACTTTTGTCTTCTTAGACAGGTTTAACATTCCATTCCTCTCATCTAACCCACGTGGGTTGAGTTGAATTTCTTCTCGTCTCATTCCATGATCAGTGCTGCCCTGGTAGTCGGAAAATGTTCTTCTTAAATTCAACAACCAATGAACTAAACTTTACAAAATTATCTATTATTCATGAATTTGAGGAAAATAGCGCCTCCGCTCGAGTGGGTGCCGTTTGGTAAGGATAAGATGAGCAAGGGACCTGATCTATGTATCTGGGATAACTTGCTCGATAGCTCTGTGGTTATATTTAGGTGAAATCCGCCTGATTGGGCTTCGAGTCCAATTCAGTTAACATGACCTTTATTTGATTCTTTCCATTCAGCCGACGTTTGTTCTTCTACGGTACTTGACATGTAAAATGCGTGCTGAGCTGCGTCCATCTTGGAACGGCCAAGGCATTCCAGTCCAAGTGATCACATGGTAGTCCTTCGTGGGGTGGTGGTCAACAGGGCTTACATAATCGTAGGGTACTTAGGACGGTCAACAAGGAAAGCAGGAAAAATTTAACACCCACCACCAACCAACCACGAACTTGATCATGCCGACAGCCTACCAACTCATCAATCTATTCCTGCTCCTCGGATCCACCCAAGCCACCACTGCCATCTCATCAAACCCGAGGTCTTCGAACGACTTCTCTCCAATCTCTCAGCCCTCCCTACTCCGAGCAGCCGAGCTATTTCAAAATAACGGCCGACCCCCAGGCTGTCCACCCTGTCCAGAATGCTTCAACTGTCAACTACCCAAGTTTAACTGCAAACAGTTTGGGATCTGCAGCGAATACGATGGCCAATGTAAATGTCCATCCGGGTTCGGTGGTCAGGATTGCGGTGAACCAGGTCTGTTCTCGTCCACATATAATCATCGTAGAATTCATAACAATCACTCATCCTGCCCCGCTTACATGCAGTTTGTGGAAGTCTGGCCGATGGAGATCAACGTCACGTCCGACAGGATAATTCAACTAGCTGTAAATGTGACGAGGGTTGGACTGGGATCAACTGCAACGGTAATTATATCCCAACCTTCCTTCTCAGACTTCTTCTTTTTTTCTCGATATCATTCTCATACTAATCACAATCCTAATCTGCTATCATATCCTTGTAGTCTGTGAAACTGATCAAGCTTGCTCTGCCCTGGTACCCTCACTCGATCACTCTACCGGCCGGCCAACTCATCCCAGCTCCAGTCACCTTTCAACCTCTGAAACACCTTCGAACAAATCCGAAGCTGTGTGTTACAAGGGTGGATATACCGTCAAGGAGAGCTATCAAATGTGCAATGTGACCAGTTCAGTTAACATTCTACTTTACGCATAAACCCTGACTCAACGCTCCATTTCTTTCATTGACACCTGCGACTGCCATGTCGAATGGAATGTATTGTATTTTTTCGCCAAAAAAAAAGATCGCAAAATCCTCGACATGCTACCCGGAAGGCCACCTCAAGCTTCTTTTACATGTGACACGAACAAGTCCTCATGTCAATTTCAATTCTGGATTGGCTACATCGAATCCTTCTATTGTGCATTTGATGATTGCCAGCAATCGATTGAAGTTGGCTACGAAGGTCAACCCAACATCACCCGAAATGAATGCAAGAAGATGCAGTGTAAATGTATTCCTGGTCGAATGTTATGCGGGGAGTCTGGTAGTGTGGGTCAGTAATCTCACAACCCTACTAAAACTTCAGTCAACTGTATGCTAATGGCGATGATCATAGACATCAGCGATTTTTTGTCTGAGGAGATCAAGGGCCCCGGTAAATTCTCTTGCTCATCCGACCGAGGGGGCTGTCAGTTTGAAGAGCCAGCAATGAACCAGTTGATCACCGATGTCTTTGGAGATACTTCCATCACTCTTGACTGCCAAGCTGGAGAATGTATGCACTATACCATGGTTCCTGGCTTCAAGGTTCCTGAAAGACCCGACAATAGCAAAATGGTTGCCCTTAGTATCGCTTTGACCGCCTTTTTCGTGGCCGGAGCTTCTTGGAGTGCGTATTGACAGTCATAACCCGCCTTAAATGAGAGCAGATTGATTAATCGTTGGTTTTGCATCTTCTTAGTGTTCTGGTATTGTGGCAGGAACCGGGCCCACAAGTACCCCGCTTTCTATGGCAGAAGTCACGTCAATCCAGCCGAACAAGACGCGCTATCCGCCCATGTGCCAACCGACATCACCTTTTCCAAAATTGCGTATTCTATCAACCACTCTACCAACAATTCCAAGGCTGTATTGCGGCAGGTTTCTGGAAAGGCAAAGTCAGGACAGCTCTTGGCGATTATGGGAGCTTCCGGGGCTGGCAAAAGCTCGTTACTTGACATTCTTGCGAAGAAGAGCAAGGCCGGCTTTGTCACGGGTGATATTTTGATTAACGACATGCAAATTTCAAACGACCAATTCAAGTCGCTGATCGGGTATGTCGATCAGGAGGATACGTTGATGAGCACGCTTACGGTTTATGAAGCTGTACTCTGTTCAGCTATGCTCCGACTCCCAAAGGATATGAGTCTTGATGCCAAGAAGATCAGGACACTCGAAACTCTGGACGAACTTGGAATACTGCATCTCAAAGACGCTTTCATCGGAAGAAGCGGCCGTAGATCTATCTCAGGAGGCGAAAAACGACGAGTATCGATTGCCTGCGAACTAGTGACGAATCCCAGTATCCTATTCTTGGACGAACCAACTAGTGGGCTGGACTCATTTAATGCGTATAATGTTGTTGAATCTTTGGCTCAATTAGCAAAGAACTACAAACGCACAATCATCTTGACGATTCATCAACCACAGAGCAATATCGTCTCGATGTTTGATCAACTAGTTTTATTAGGAAATGGAGGGAGACTGATTTACTCCGGTGCATTCGAAGCTTGCCATGAATACTTTTCCCAAATTGGACACCCGTGTCCAGCTGGTTATAACATTGCCGATTTCCTAATTGAACTGACGATGAAATACCGAGCAAACAACCCCAAAAATGTCAGTGGTCACTCGCAGGTGGATGGACCTACTCAGCTACTTCGCGATAGTGAAGAGAGTGGAAGCTACGAGCCAGCGGGGGATGAGACCGAGTTGCTCTTACGCAATTCATCCGAGGGATCGAGGACTTCCAGCTCTACACTACAAGCGCTCAGAAATAGACTCACAACCAAACAAGACGTCGAGTCAGAAGATTTCAGTTCACTCGACCAGCTTGTTGAAAGCTTTGAAGCATCAGAAATATCTCAATCATTTGATAAGGAATTCAAGACCATCCAGAACCGCGGCTTGGTAATTGGGGCAGGTGTTGGGGATGAACTGTATAATTACCTGGTCGCTCGTAGTAGAGATCGAGCGGGATTTTTCCGACAGTTCTTAATCCTCAGTAGTCGGGCTTTCAAGAACCTTTACCGAAATCCAATGTTGATGTTATCACATTACTTATTAGCAATCTTTCTTGCAGGTAAGTGAAGACCTGTCCACAAGAAAATGAAAACTAGAAGCTGGAAGCTGATTGGTTCTTTTGTTTGGTTTTGCTGGAAAAAATGATAGGGGTTTGTGCGTCACTTTTCCATGGAGTCACATTGGACATTGCAGGTTTCCAAGGACGAATGGGCCTATTCTTTTTCATTCTGGCCTTATTTGGGTTTTCGTCGTTGACAGCGATCACGATTTTTTCCGAAGAGCGGATCCTGTTTATGCGAGAGCGGTCGAACAACTACTATTCGCCATTCAGCTACTTCCTCTCGAAGACGATCTTGGATATCATTCCTCTACGGATCCTTCCACCCTTCATCCTCAGCTGTATTATCTATTATCCCGTAGGATTGGTGCCTACATTGGAACAGTTTTGGAAATTCGTCCTCGTCTTGATCGCTTTCAATCTCGTCTCCTTCGGCCTCGTCCTCTTCATCAGTCTCGTCTGTGACGACGTCGGTGTCGCCAACCTTGTCGGTAGCTTGATCATGCTATTCAAGTTTGTCCTTCCCCCTCGTCTCCTTCTTGCTTCCAATTGAAACCCAAATGCTAACTAGTCCACAATTTTTTTTAATTCTTTTTCAAAAACGTAGCCTATTATTTGCAGGTTTACTTGTCAATAGGGAAAAGTTACCATACGGTACTGCCTGGCTACAAGACATTTCATTCTATCATGCGGCCTTTGAAGGACTCTTGATCAATGAAGTCCGCTATCTGACCTTGAAGGATCATCGTTACGGTGTCGACATAGAAGTCCCTTGTGCGTTTTCCCTTATTTGACCTTCCTCAAAACGTTCAGTCCAAGGTCCGATCTAATCTGTTTCGCCTGATCTCTGACTTCTTTTCTTCAATTGTAGCCGCCAGTATCCTGTCCCTTTTCGGATTCAGAACAACTGCCTTTTGGTATCCCGAGTGAGTTCTCATTTATGTTTCTTGTTTTATCTCTTCATTGAGAGAAATCACTAATTTTGGGGGCTCATTGCTATATTGTTTTTTTTGTTTAGTATGGCAAACTTAGCATTCTTGTTCCTCTTCTTTATGACTGTCTCATTCTTGACCTTGGTCTTTGTTGTCAAAGAACGTCGGTAATTTGAAATTATCTCAGATCCTTTCTTCTTCTTTTTTTTTCAAACTTGTAAAATTGTTTTTTTGTTGTTGTAAAATCTTGAGCCCGACAGAAGAAGAGAAAAAGAAAAGAAAAAGACACAGTTACGATCATCTTTTGAATTGTTGCATAATCTTTTGATCATTTGTTATCATCAGATGTCTCATCTCTTTTTCTAATATACTTACATATTCCCAATCATCACCATGTATTCAACTTTGACTGCATACAAATATTCTCAATTTCATAATTTGTCTCAAAAAGATAAACTATACCAATCAGTTGAAATTATGATCAATCTCATGCCGCTTTTTCACTTAATAGTCTACAATATTCTGGATTCTCCTACTTTCAGAGACAAAAGGTAATGGACAGCGCAGAAAATTATCAAGCACATAGGAACTGAAATCAAGGCGGCCTTTCTACTGATTTTTGATGGTGACATATCAGCAGTAAGGTCCACTACTTTCTCAAATAGATTGAGACTTTCCGTTGCGAATGCGACTATCAATTGCACGTACGGCGGCATGTCTTCTACTGTTAGTTCTTGGACATGGGAATCGGGATGTTCTGGTTCTCTTGGTTGATTGTTTTCTGGTCTCAAATCCAAATGGCCCGAATACCCAACTTCCTGGTTCTGTTCCGGTTTGGTTTCTCCATTGAGGTTCCCAGAGCTTCCTGATTCATACGCTTTGCCTCGGGATATCCAGTGTGGGCTTTCTTGTTGACCCGCAACACCGGTTCCCTGTGACTAGTGGAGTAGACATAAATGTAATATTCAAAACTTGATTTAACCCATGATTTTCATGTCTTCGATTCTCAAAAAAAGTTACGCACTTGCTCCACATTCTTGGCCACCGCAATTGGTGAGTGTGTAAGTGTGTAAGAAGGAGCGCCTTCCATTGGCGATCCATCTGGAGTGTGACAGATTGAGTTCCCCGCCGGATGATATCCATCGTGATCGATGGGTTCAACCGCTTTCAAGTCCTTCGGGTCTACTAAACGCATCGCGCCGTATTGCCCTACTATCTGTGCAACCCAAAAGATATTCGCGTCAGTCAAGACCACTCTCATCATATCTTAACAATCCTGGAGAAGGCTTAACCATCATCGCCAGCAGTGCCAGTTGCGAAAACATATGTAACGGAGGAGATAGAAATTGCTTGTGAGATATATTTAGAACCAAATGTGAGGTTTCAGTTTGAATGGAAATTTTCCTCGATGAATCTTCAGAAGCCCTGCAGGTATGTACTTTCTTGTTGTTATTTTCTTTCTGACGCATGTAGGGGATTCCTTCAAGCGCCAATTATAAGAGCAAAAAACGTGGACAAGGACTTGCAGGTTTGCAAGAAACACCCGGTCTTTGAAACAATATTCGAACTATTGAGCCTTGCTTTCCTATACTTCCTCGCCCACCTCCATGTCTACCAGGCATTCAATATTTCTCCCGATCCACTCAGCTTGATCCACGCGAGAATTTTTCCGAGTCTTTTCCAAGGCAAGTTGAATCATGGCTGCAAACATTACTTCAGCCAGTGTAGTATGTAGCACTCAATATTGCTCCTTGACGCGACGGTTTAAGCGATACTTGGTAGTAAGATCTTTTGGGCCACAAAGGTTGTGGCGGGAATCCAACTATTAAGCGATGTTGTGCCCAAGGGACAGAGTCTTCAGATACATAGTTTGCATGAGGATTGGGTGAAACTTTTGATTGAATACAATGCCGCCAGCAGTAACAATTGTAATCAAACAAGCTGTCTCGCCAGCTTTAATACTGGGGAAGTTGCTGTTTCACTGGTTCTGCGCTATGTGTTCTATGTATGTACACCCAAGACGCAGGATCCGTGGAACAAACGATGTTCTATTTGTCTTCCAAGGGGGCTTCCTGGGACCCCACCTTGGCAAAATCAACTTGATGATATGTAGCTCTGATACTTTCTTGGATTTGTCTGCCTCTTATATACAAGCCTCTGACAAAAAAATGAAAGTAAACTGATCTGGATTGCTTGTTTCAATATTAATTCTTATGGCTCATTGCTACTGAATGAAGCCTTGAGCTGGCAGCTGGGATGAAGGCCAAGGGACCTGACACAAATGCACAAAACCCTTCATAAAATTAATGAGTTGGACTGAGAATGGTTTAGTGTAACGTTGCTTTGCCTGTAATGTTGGAATGTGGATCATCAATGCTGTGTTCTTGTCAGTCTCATGAGAGACAGCACAAGCTGGCCTAAAGAATGAGCCAAAAACCCACCTAAATGAGATTGATGTAGCTGTTTTCACAAAAAAGGGTCATAATGTAACCCGTGAAACCACAATGATAGATGAGCAAAAGTATGTATCACATTCATCAAGATAGTGTGGGCCTCCTATCTTTAGTACCACTGGATGAGTTATTGGGTTTGTATGACTGTTGATGACCCACAATCCTGCAACAATCTACCGTTTACGTTGCTATCTCAAGAATATGCTTAAACAGTGTGACTACAATGATCAATAACAGGAAATAAAATGACCAATTTGCCCCGGTGAATACAAGCATTTTTGAGTTTTTTTTTTTTTTTCAGATTGAAGTTTGGACTACTTTTGAAGGAGTGTTTTTTTTTTCAGCTGTTATGGTCAGTCAACCTCCTGAAAAACTCTATTTTTATATGCTTGTTTGGAGAAAGATAGATAATATCATCACAAAAAGTCCACTTGATTCTTGGTGGCTCTATAAGATCACCTGAACTACAAGTGGTCAATTCCTTGCAAAGAAAATCCTCCCTTTGAAACACCATCAGAAATCTTACCACCAATCAAAAAATGAGTGTGTGTGTTTTCTTTTTTGTATCATCTCTCTTTGGGATTTTAACAAACCAAAATGGCAGAGTGCTTTGAGCTTCTTGGCGAACGATTTCTGATGAAGGGGAGACGGGGGAGGGGGGAAAGAAGTTGAGAATGTCTGTGTTTATATATTACTTTGTGTATTGTACAAATCCTTAGCAGCAAAGAAAAAAGATGTCAGAAAATTGATGTGGAGACCTAACAGGAAAAAAGAAGGAGAAGGATGGCGAGAAGAGGGGTGAGTTTACAAGTGAAATGAAAAGGAGGACACATTGTGAGAACAAGTGAAGAGGATAGAAGAATATATTGGTCAAGCAGAAGTAGTAGATTCACTACAACTATCTGAGAATTCAGAGAGATTAGGAGCAGCCGAGGAGCGGAAACCAGCGGAGTGAAAGGGCTGCCGGAAATTCCGATGCGAGTCGACCCATGTGTTGGGAAGGGGAGTAGAGGCGATGGGGGTGGCGGAGATCGAGATAGCGGGGTCCGGCAGCAAAGCACGAGCGAAGGGATTGGAAGGGAGGCGGCTTGAAGGGTGCTGGTGTTGGACGAGCATCATCCGCATCAGATCGCTCGATGTCGTCCCCTCTTCCTCCTTCCCATGACCATCATCGTCGGCTCTGTCGCGCTTATTAGACTCCCGCGAATCGTCTGGGTTAGGCAGCTGCTCGCGGCCCGCAGCTCCGGATAGAAATAGGCGGCGGATCGAATGGTTGAGCACGATGAATCCTAGGAAGAATATCGCAATCGAGAGCGGGCCGGGCGTGTTATTCGGGCGAAAGTCGTCGGTTTGAGTTTCCAAATGCTCCTCCCAACAACTCGAGCTACGGCTGCACATTGCGTTTATTGTCTCGGTTTGTTTCTTTTGTTTGTTTCTATTTTTTTTTTCTGAGTGCTTCTTGATTGATCAATTCTAAGCGATGATTATCAAGCTTTGTAAAGTATCTTGAAATCGCGAGCTTGATCTGCTGAATATGTACGCCTCGATTGTTTGCGACGGATTCTTAAGAAGTGTCTCGAGCGGCTGAGTCGAGTGGATTTGAATGCAGAAGATTCCACACGCGGGAAAGATGAGCGAGGCAGTGAAGACGAACAAATCAGTGGGGGTTTTTTACGAGCTATGTATATGAGGAGTGTCAGGTGGCATGAAGTACCTTGGCTGATTCCAAAGATAACAGTGATGCTCTCTTGTAGTTGACTTGAGCGGCGATATGAGTATCAAGACTTGTAGGCTATTGGTTGTGGTGTATCTGATTCCAAGTGGGAGGACGGAAGAGTTGTGGATCAATGTGACTGATAAAATAAGAGACGCCCGGAGAGGCCGAGGGGCAAGAATATTGGTGGACAAGCGCGTGGAGGAAAGGGATTGGCATAGGATGTATACGGGCCATGGCGTATGTATTGGGGGGGGGACACTGCCAAGCACATATGTAGAGAGAGAGAGAAACGAGAAACAAGGTTATGTATACGCTCAGGCCTAAAAGTTCTTGTGAATTCAACCTATTTAAGTAGAGTGTGCGGTGTGAATTTCGTGTTCAGCTTGGTGGTGATGGTTTGGATAGATTGTGGAGAACTGGTTCCTGAACTTTTAATTATGTAGTCTTTTCGGTGACTTTTTTTTTGCAAACAAATCATGAGAGCATTCTTTTGGAGCTGACGGCCACCACTCGATCGATGAGGCCCGACCGAGATGCAGGCATTCCGATGATCTTCAGCCAGACTCCAGACTGGGTGATCTGCTGTAATACATATACAGACCAATCTGTACCGATAATCTCCGCCTGGAGAGCGTCCTTCATGACTGGCGGCCAAGAATGAGGGGTGTTTTCAACAAGGGTATGGACACCCTCCCAGTTCGTCATGGTGGAGGAATTCCGGGGGCGAAAAATGTATGATTTTTGCTTCGCCTTTAACTGATGTGCTGCAACTTCATGAACTTGTGGGCTGACTCGCAAGGAATCCATGTTGATTTAATAGAGATAAATCGCAAGATGGAAAGGGTCCTCAACATATGTAAACCCACTTCATCAGGTGAAGATTATCGTAATGGGGCGTGTTGCATGGAGAAAACACAAAGAGACTTGAAGGGAAAAAGAATTTGTTTTTTTCTTTCTTTCTGGGGACGGTTTGGTTACTCACATATTATGCTTTAATTTGCTTTTTGGGCTGATTGGTGAGCCTATTGAGATAGACCAAGATCTACAGCAGGAAGGACGGAATCTTCTCTTCGGCAGGGATGGATGGACGATGATGATGGGAGCGAATAAATATCAGGAGGTGAGACTTGCGAAGAAACGAAAATCAGGAGTCGTCCAGAGATGTGTCGAAGACCGAGAATTGTTTTTACCGAATTGCTTTTGTGCGATCCAAAAAAAGAAGCTGGATGCGCAGAATGTGGTGTTGATGAGTTCGCGCAAACTTGGGTGAATTAGGTCCAGACTCCAGCTTGGAGCTTGAGTTTATAGAAATCTGGCTGATCAGAATCTGGGAGCAGGTGGGGTACCTAATAATAGGGGCAGCTGGTTACGCCGGTTGAAGAAGCTGGACTGTGACCTGAAGTCTGACGTTTTCCCCAGATCAGCTTATAACGAACAACCAGATAAATAAATCGGTGATTGCAGGTGAGTAATCATACGTAAACGGCGTGTCTCCTCTTGCTTCGGCCTTACTATTCATGTATGAGAGACAGTGCTGCGAGTTGATCAGGTGGTTTATATTCATCACCAACAAGGCTGCTGGATGGAAGAGAGAGAGAGTCAAGCGGGCAGAAAAATGATTGCCCTCTCAAAACTGACCAACGGATCTACATACTAATTGACTGTTCTGAACTGGCTGTTCGGATTTCTTGTTTCTTTGGAGTCTGTTGCTACAATCATGAACAAAGCTTTTTTTTTTTTTGGATTTGAGAAATCTTTTCCGGTGTTGTGAAGTGTCCGGATGGGAGTTGTCACCTAACCGACGAGACATACAGATTTGGATGGCAATGATGATGGGATGCCGATGGGGATTCGGAGCCCAGTTCATGAGTTGCGAAAGTATTACATAGGGTTCAAGAAGACTCGGACGATCGGTGATCAGACTGCGCGCCACACCGATCACGAGAATCGGAATATGTTTATAGGCTGGCAACTTGCCAGCCAACTGATAAAGAGCTTAAGCCGTTGAGCTAACGGGAATCCCATCGCCCGCACTTCAAGACGCTCCCGATAGCCCGGCTCGAGTGGAAGGATGGAAGGAGCGGGTGGTCTGGCTAGCTATGTAGCTTTACCCAATGCTCTCGTTTCCGAGGGCCGTAGGGGGGCACGGCAGCTCGCCAAGGAGATACTCCCCGCTTGGTACATATTTGCGCCAGCCTGGCTACACAATCGAGAGTCGTGGGTTAACTCAGGAGGGGTGGAGGGTGGATCCAACTCTCAACCCGGTCTGGTGGATTCATTACCGAGCTGACCACCTCCTATTGACCGTGGCAGGATTTCAGAGGCCGGTATTGAACTATAAACCCATCAACGTCCCTGCAAAATGAGGGGGTGCTAAAAAAGCTTACCACTGTAACAACCACTTGACATATCAATCTGCCTCCCTCCCCACCCCACCCCCACCGCCAAAAAAGAGAGAGAAGTTAATTGGTTAATCGGCTAGGTGTCTTAGCCTTTTGATCATCGAAATACTTGGCTGGTCAACAGCTGTTTAGCTATATCAAAATAAGGACCTGATCTATGAAGGTGTGTGGCCTTTTGGCCAAAGAAAATTCAAAATGTTACTCGCCAAAGATTGATGAATGTCCTCTGTTCCTCACATGTAAAAAAAAAAGTAAAGGTCCGCATTTTCCAGCCAAAAAGATAAGGGAAAAGGCTGGTTTAATATTATAGGGCGCTGGACATTATTGAAATTTGAATGTAAGGATATGGACAGTTCTCTGCAGGAATATTCCTAATTTTTTTGGGGTTATCCACCTTGATCAGGGAGAGGGTAAAAGCCTGGGTGCTATGTTAGTGCTTGGAGCTTGACAATAAAACTCGACTCATCCCCATTTTTGGCTTGGAAGTGTTGATACCTGAAACTGCACAGAAATTGCACTCGATGCTAATTCTTTTTCAGGGGTCCTTGGCGGTGGTTCGCCAACCACTAACAAGAATATGTAATACTGGATCTCCTCAATGGGCTATGTAGACCGCCTGGATGATATCCTATGTAGTCTTCCTCAAGTTGCGTTCAGGGGTGTCCATATGGATGGGCTCGCATTCCAGAATAGGCAATTCTTCTGTTGAAGGTGGTTGTTGCACGAAGGTCTATCGTCAGTCCAACGTCGTCGGTCGGGGATCTACGAACCCGCGCAGTATTGATCTGTGAGTTTTTAGTCAGAAACACGTAAGAAGGCTGGGCAGAAACCCCCGGATTAAAACTCAAGAAGGATAGGAGTTGAGTCCCGGGGGGAGTTGAAGCCGGAAAGGAAGAGAACGACAACCACAACAACAACAACCAACCAACCAACAACTTCACAAAAACAACCTCAACTTGTCGACTTGGTACATAATCAAAACGATATCCTCATCAGAACCCAGCATGGATCATCAACCTTCATCACCCCCAACTCAAACTCAAACTCAAACTCAGCCAACCAACAATACCCAGCAACAACAACAACAACAACAACAGGCTGACTGTCTCATGGTCTGCCTCACTCATCACACACACACATTCCCTCTATTTCAATATATCACCCATGCTAACCCCGCCTATCCTTCTCGATTCATTCTGATCTGACCCAAACCTCACCTCCAGGCCGATGTCTCAACCAAAAGACTCAACCTACCCATCCAACCTGTCGCCTCTAGCAGCTCATCCGTCATCAGGTCACCCTCCGCAGCCATCTCACAGTTCGGACCTCGTCTAGGACTCACCTGCTTCTCGAACCCTATCCCCGATCCACTCACCCTCAACTCAACCCATGGATTCATTCAGTCAAACCTCCAACCCGTCTACTGGTTTACCATCGACAGTCTACTCATTTATCTCAGCTTCTATCAAGTAAATTAACCCTCAACATCCCAAATTATCCCTCTCTCTCTCACCTCGTATTTCCAGACCTCTTTCTGATCGTAGCATTCCCATCTCAGGACACCGGCCCCTTGAATTGTGCCTGTTTATATAGGTTTTGTTTACATCTACACGAGTTACTGGAAGACTCATCCATGTCAGATCGTCGGATCATACTATATTCATCAGATGACCCTGATAAAAAGGCAAACGCGGCTCTACTCATGGCACTATATTGCGTGAGTCCTCCTCTGCTCCTTCACTACCGATCTCATCAAATCACAACTGACACTCTGATATATCATCCTTCCGTTTCCGACCATCTGACGCCGTTGAATTAGATGATTGTGCTCAGATGGAGCGTAGCAGACGCGCTGCATCCAATTTCTCATTTAGAACTCGTAAGCCTCGTTTCAGCATTTATTTGCTCCCATCTCTTCCACGCGTTTTGTTTTCATCCCTTTCCGCCCTTGAGCCATTCCAAAAAAAAAAGCGAAGCACCCTACATTTCTTCCCCGCCTCCTGAACAAAAACAAAACGTGACAAATGAACTCACGAACTTTAACCTATCACGAAATGTTATTCTTACCGTAGCAACCGTTTCGGGACGCGGGCTACTCTAGGGCAGATTTCAACCTAACAATACAAAATGTCTTATTTGGCGTCAAGAAGGCGATTGATCTGAGACTATTAAAACTAGAAGAATTCGACCTCAAAGAATACGAGACCTTCGAGAAGGTTGAACATGGCGATTACAATTGGCTCTCCCCCCACTTTATCGCCTTCGCCTCACCAGTCGAATCAGCAAATGGGAGAATAGGGAAAGCCTTCAAACTCATCTTGGATCAATTTGAACGCGTCGGAGTCAAACTGGTGATTCGTCTCAACAAGAAACTCTACGATGAAACTCGGTTTACCAAAAGGGGGATTGCTCACCGGGAAAGTCAGTCAAAACACGCGTTTTATATTCCCAAGAGGTTTTGATTGTACTGATTTCGTATCGCTTCCTAAACGCGTCTCTTTCTTAGTGTACTTTGATGATGGCACAAATCCTACGATGGAAATGGTGCGGGAGTTCATTACGATTTCCGAAAGAATCATTGGCGAGGGCGGCGTTGTGGCGGTTCACTGCAAAGCTGGACTCGGACGAACCGGAACCTTGATCGGAGCATATCTTATTTACAAGTATCGGTTCACAGCTGAAGAAGCTATTGGATTCATGAGAATCATGAGGCCTGGAACATGTGTCGGGTCAGTTTTTTTTTTTTTTTTTCTCCTGACATCTTTTTTTGACCGCTTGACTCATAAGCATCATGTGCAATTGAATTTATAGACCTCAACAGCACTTCCTATACGAAAATCAGCTGACGTGGATTGAATGGGCAGCAAGGGATGAATTGCTAGCTGAACAACAAGCACAAATCAGTCCCAGCAAAACTGAACGTCCGATCACTCCACCACCTGAAAGTCTGGTACCGGCCATAGCACTATCCTCTGCGACATCGACCCCACCACCAAAGTCACTGACAGCAGGGACATCAGCCATGCCGGCGAGTGCCGTGCCAGGTCAACCCCGAAAACACCAGGGGCCAAGACGCGTCATATGGTTGCTGCACCTGAAGGCAAACAGAGTAAAAGTCTGATTGAGCAGGAGGAAGCTCAGGAGCAAACGAGTGAGGGAGAAGAAGAGGAAGAAACACAAGTGATCCCCAATCGGCCCATCACTCGACAAGTGCTTGCTCACAAATTAGCACCCGGATCGCCTGTCAAGATCAGCAATCCAGTGCCTGCTGCAAAAACTCGGCCACGACCGGCTTCTGCCATGTCAGATCATCGACCAAAGAGCACTGCGCCAGTTCCTGGGATCGTCCGACGAAGCAAAGCCGTCAAAGATCTTGGGACGCTCTTCGAAGGCACCTCGACCAAGGCTGGCGACCAGAAAACAACCGCCATCCCGACGCGATATAACCTCCGTGGTGCCGGTACAAGAGCGGTCTCGGGGGCAAGCTCGAATAATGGGAACCGGGCCAATGGTAACAACAACCCGACCTCTCCCAGTCGATTGCCGCAGCGGGTTGCTGGGGTTAAGAAGAGAGGATGCACGGCGAATGGGCCTTCGAATGTGCACAAGGACGAGCTGCTGAACTTGCGAGTCACCGAGGTCCGCAACGGAACCAGCCACCATCATCTTCGTGATCACAAGCATCTCAATGGGGCTCCCAATAACCTTAATCCTCTCGATCGTAGAAACGTCGGTGCTTCACTCGGCTTGGACGAGGATCAGAGGAGCGTTCGGAGGAGACGGTCTAGCTTGAGTCATACCGATCTGGCTATCTAAGTCTCGACACTCTTTTCTCTTCTTCTTTTCGACTTTGATATTCTACATATTATCCTTCCTTTCTTTTTTGTCTCTATATATCATTTCTAGTGAGCCAAAAGAAAAAAAAAATCAAAATGCTTGAAGCTTTTTGAATAAACAATCTTATATACCAGTCTTTCAATCCCTTTTGTCGCCCATAAACAAAACAAAACAAGACCCGGCAAGCTTGGCCGGAGAGGTCGAAGAGAGAAAGAAAGAAAGGAAGGAAAAAAGGCGTGTAGATTGGTGGAACTTCAAATTGAACTCGGTAGATCCAAAATCAATTCACTTTCTTTTTCATATATACATACCACATACCTGCTTGAAATTTCTCCTGTTATAAAGTCTCTTTGGAAGTTTTACAATCATAATCAAGTCCTTCCTCAAAAAAACCCCCACAAAAGAAAAGTCCAACTGAGCTCGATCTTGTTCTTCTCTTTCTATCTTTATCTTTATATATATATTCATTATCATTATCATCATCATCATCTGATCATCTTCATCATCTTCTCATCTTTCCTACTTGACTCCAAAATCAAGATTTACTTACATATACATAATAACCAACCAACTAAAAAAACAATACAAAAACACATATATGGATATCCTGGTATTCATCCTCATTTTTTCTATTCCTGGATTTTCTATTTTTTTTTTCATGCTCAAATGTGACTTTTTCTTTGCTGTGTTTGATGTTTTTTTGTGTGTGTGTGTTGGATACAATAAAAAACAAATGTGTACCTGCTTGATACCTCACCCATTATATTTATTTTTTCAATGTTTTGTGTGGCATGTGTGTTTGTGTGTGTGTGTGTGTGTAAGTTTGTTGTTTTTGAGAGAGGTGTACTTTTGTATATCACTGATCATTTTAGTAGAATCTCTTTAATCAATTTCCGACAAGTTATATAGAGTATGTGAATTAGCTTTCTTGGATTTTTTGTTTTTGGTCAAGTTATAAGTTGTCTCTCATCCTCTGATCACACTCATCATTGTCTTTATTTCTTGGCTTTTAGACATCCTTCTGATTGCAAGTATACACCATCTTCACATCCACAGGTGCTTCAAAGAAAGAGCCTTGTGACCCATACACATGGTACATACAAACAACCATCCAAATTCAAAACAATTCAATGGTACAACTATGAGTAAGTGAACGTTTCATGAACTGTCAAAAGATGAAGGGCTAGGATCACAAGAGACATGCGTCTTGAATTCTTTTCCACAAGACACCATATCGTAAGAGGGAAAGATACACCAACAGAAAGTATGCAGAGGGACTTGATCCATGTGGTGGAGCCTTTGCAAGGAGGCCTGCACATGAGGGTGTGCATGAGCAGTCCAAATTCTTGATGGCAAGGATTTGGGGGTAGGATTATTTATCGATTGAATCAATGACTGATTATCCGCTGTGGCCTTCCCTCCAAATCAACTCATCAAACCATTCTGGAGCCTGCTCTTCTAGTTTTACTGATGATAGATATGTACTAACAACACTGGAACAGAGACAAGACATGTATTTGGTATTTTTCATTGTGAGCCTGATACCTGGTATCAGTATTTCCTTGGTTGGTGAGAAAAGCCACCATCTTGGATTCGGATTTACAAATTCCAAAAAAAAATGTCTTCTTCTTTTTTTTTGTCTACAATGCAGCCAAATATCTGGTGTATCACAGATGGTCTTGGTGGGATCATCCCTCTAAGACAATGCATAATATGTGTCTCACTTTCCAAAGAGAATACGTGTGTATAATTGTCTCAGGAAAGTGAGACAACACAGACGATACAAACAAACACCTGATACCCTCTCGTCTTGTCTCTGTTTGAGTGTTGGTAATAATATTGTCATTACCAAAAAGCTTGGCTGGTTCTTGATCCCACTTCAAGTTTTCTGCAAAAGACATAATTCTTTCTTTTTTCCTGATGTTGGTCAGATAATGCCCAAAAAGACGGAACCACCCTTGGAGCCTGCTGTCCCCTCCAGCAGAGGTAATCTAAATCCAAGTTCAGATTCTGAACCAGAAAGAATTGTACACCTCTGAAACTGTTCCTCCCCCCTGTTGCTTGCTGCCCTCTGCTTCAATGGAGGGGCCAACAAAGGATGTAAAAGGGTCAGGTTTGGACCCAAAAACAGTGCCCAAACCCGACCTGACAGCGACACCTATGTTGGTTCAAAATTGAACACATGCTGCCCAGACCCAAACCCATCTTGGGACTTGTCGGGTTTGGGTTGGCAGTATGCATGTCTGGTTTGGGCCGACCCAAGTGTTATAGCCTTTGCAGAGCATATATGATAAAAACTTACCTGCCTGACTATCAAAACACCTGCCCAAACCCGACCTGCTAAGTTTCTGTGTTGGGTTTGGGTCATGTGATTTTCTCACAAATTCTGCCCAAACCCGACTCCCCCAAAGTGATCACAAAGAAAAAAAATCCATACAATTTTCTATTTTTCACAAATCTTGAAACTTGACTTTTTGATATTCATTTTTTGGGTCCTATTCTGCACCACTTGCTTCAGTCTCATGACTTCAAGTTTGTGTTTTGGAGCTCTGTGATCCAAAATAATCAGCCACCTTTCAGTGTCTGTTTGGAGCCTCAGTGTTATGGGTCTTCTGGGGAGAGCAGGTGAGGGATCTTCTGGGTTCTGAGTCTTGATGGTAGATTGCAAGATGAGGAATGTACAAGGTGTGGATCTTGAACAAACTCCAAGTTCAAGGTTTGTGACATGTACCTAACAGGCTCTCTACATATGTAACTCCCCAGTTCCACTCCTCCACAGCTCATAACACTCAGGCAACACCGCAACCACTGCGCTGCGCTAGAAAAAGCGGCAAATTAGCGCAGCGGAGCTACATTCCGCTTTCTTTGGAATAAAACAGCGATAGCTGAAGCGAATAAACGCTGTTATCAGCGCCAGCGCAGCAAACAAACCGCTGCTTGGTTTGAGCCCTCCGCATAGCGGAGCGATTTTTTTGCGCTTTCGCTACAAAATAGCGAAGCGAGAGCGGTAAAGCGGTTGGCGGGGCGCTTTTGGCCGCTTCTGGCCGCTATCCACTGAGAACAGCTGAACAGCTGCGCTTTTCTGCGCTGAAGGAGCCAATATTTGACCCACAGGTGCACCCAGGATTTCCAACCTGGTTATAAATGTGTGGAAGGTAGTTATTGTCACCGTGCAAGCCACCGGCACTCCCCACCTGAATCCAGATACTCCTTTTTTCTGGAGCTGCCTCTCTCAATTGGACTTTATATAATTATACTTATGGCTTATTAAATTTACAATAGTTTCAAGTTCATTCCCTCTTGTTTTCACTGCAAAGATGACCCGAGACCAGACTCCTGACCAAGATATCCAGGTTGTGCATGATTCTGTTTCTACCCCTTCCTGCCAGTCTTCATCTTTTATGATCCGTCAATCCGCACGTAAAAGAAATCCTCTAGTTAATCCGGGATTTGTTCCTACTCAAGCCGATTCCCGAAAAGCCCTCCAGGCCAATGTCCGTGTGACCTCTTTAAATGGTCATACTAGTAGTCCTGAAGCTGCACCAAATACCTCCTCAACCCCTACAGCCACAACCCAGGTCAGTCATTAGCATTTAGATACATTACAGCTTTGTTTGGTATTCATTTTGAATTGGTAAATGTCTCCAGGAAGATCCCAAATCACAAGAACCTGCTACCTCAAGCTCCTTCAACTCGGCTTCCCTGTACGACCTTGAACAAAACTCTGATGACGAAAATGCGCAGGCGGCTGGCCGATCAAAAAAATCTAAGGAAGATAGGAAGCTTGCACCGCGTAAAGATGGCACACAAAGTGTCTTGCTCTACTTCAAGCAAGTTGAACATAGTCTGAATTATGCTTGTGTATGGTGCTCAAAGATCGTAAAGGCTTCATCTTCCTCATACTATAACCTCAAAGTCCATCGTGATGGATCAAACATCAAGGGAACAATCCGACAAGCTTGTCCAAACCGATTGAAGGCCATTGCTTCCGGTAGCATCTTGCCAAAAACCGCTTCTGCAATTTCTCAAGAGAGTTTGGAATCAAAGAAGCCAATCAACAACACACTTGCCTCTTACGTTATCAAAGGTCGCTTCGACAACAACACCTTCAATAAGCTTATGGTATTCTGGCTTATCCGCCATTGTCTCCCATGGGACCGATTTGAAGACAGAACCCTACGTATTGCCATGGACTATGTGGACTCAACAACCAAACTTCACTCTCGAACGTGGGCTGCCGAAACAGCACACAAATTCTACTTGGCTCAACAGCGTACTGTTTTGGAAGATATCAATGTAAGAGATAAATTTGGTATTGAATTCAAGGGGTTATGAAATCCACATCTGACTGATTTACTTTGCCATTTGTGTTACTCTCAGAAATCCGACTCAAAAATCAGCCTAGTCTCGGATGTGTGGACCACCAAAGGTGGCCACAAAGCTTTTTTAGGTATATCTGTGTGCTACATCACAAAGGACTGGGTGTATCAATGTCGACATCTCTCAATTAAGTATATCTCGTGGCATCACAAGGGCATATATCTTGCTGCCCCTTTCGCCAAGGTTCTGATCAAGAATGAACTTCATAAAAAGATAAGCTTTCTGAACTCAACATAATTCTTCATCCCATTTCCAAGATCTTACTTTGTTATGTTTTTTTTTCCCAATACATCCTTTCAAAGACAACCGACTCTGGTTCTAATAACTTCACCATGACCAAAGAATTGTCACGATTGATTGAGAAGCACGATGGCACATTCTGGAACAATAATGTCAACCATCAGCGATGTTTTTGCCATGTCCTGGCATTAATCCTGGGTGCAGGTCTGGCTGCGGTAAAGTTATCATCAGCCAAGGGCCCAACTTCCAAAAAACCCGAAAACTTTCCAACTCTCGAAACCATCAGCCGAGCTGAAGCAGCCTCTCTGGAGGTGTTGCGGGGGCAACACTCTCGTAGAGAGGCTTATGCCCGAAGTTAGGTCGCGGGCCTGGCAGCATTTCAATATTACTCATTTTACTCCTTTAAAATACTTTAAAAATATGTCGGATCCGCTTGTCTCTATCCAAATCGACAGAATCATTGTCCCCTTCGTTGTACTTTTTTTGATACTACTACATTGCAGAAGGAAAGGAAGCTCTCCTGTCTAGTGACAAACGAAAAATTTATCGGGATGCTCTTTTTTTTCAATGCAATGTCCGATTGCATTTTGTGCCATCGGACCGTTGAGCTTTAATGACATATCTTTTTTTCACGTGAGGAGCTGGCTATTTCTGTAAGTCTCTATCAGAGATCGGTAAGGTTGGATTGGGAAGCAATCGATTGATGGTTGGAAAAGGAGCAAGACAGAACAAACGAGTCGACCGATATTAGTACTGTAGTAGATCAAGTAAGATAAGCATGTCTTCGAAAACATCAAGATCCTCATCAAGATTGACATCGCGATCATCGAGTAAAGCTCCCCTGTCTCCCAAGAGCGAAGCGAAGAAGCTGTTCAAGAACCAGGCTGTCCGAGACAGCAGGATCAAGTTGATTAAAGAGATACTCGAACGGGATGAGGATGCTCTAAGGGAATATATCATCAAAGATTCCGAAGCTTTTTTCCATCAAACACCGACACTCTTACAAGTTAACGCAGTCGTCAATCTTGTCAAGAAACAGAACACCTTCGTCTTGTCTGGCACCGGTTCCGGAAAGACTCGAATTGCGGAGATGTATCACCATTTGTTTGCTCCTTCAACGAGGAAAGCAACAATCCTTGTGTTGAATCCACTTGACTCGCTGGGAGAGAATCAAGTATGTACATATCTTGCTCTTCTTGTCCACAAAGGTTTAAAGGAGGAAACTAACTCTGTAACAAAATACATGATCAGGTCGCTGAGAAAGAAAAGGATGGGATGACTGCGATAAGTTTGACAAAGATGACCTTTACAAAGAAAGTGGCCGACAAGATAATAAAAGGGGATTACAGTTTTGTGTATCTGGTAAGGGTTTCATTTTTGGAATGACCAGACTCATCAAAAACTGACCATGTGCATGTATCCTAGAGTCCAGAGGTCTTCCTAAATAACGGGTTATTCAACTATGTTTTCTACAAGAAGGAATTTCAAGACCGTTTGGCTCTAGTTTCAGTTGATGAAGGCCATATGATCTATCTGTGGGGGCTCGTAGCGAAGGGAAAAGCGAAACGAAGCTCAGCTCACACGCGAACACAAGATCGAGGAATCTTCAGACCGTCCTATGGGAATCTTGGAGCTCGACTGATGGCAACCTACGGAGTTCCAGTGATGCTTCTATCAGCTACCTGCCGGCCGATTGCAATCAAGAGCATCATGAAGAGCTTGAAGATGACAAACGACAACATAACCTTTCTCCGCGATGAATTGACACGTCCCGAGATTCGTATCATCCGAGTGCCAATGAAATGTTCTTTGATTTCCGCAAACGATCTGCTTAATGTTCTTGGACCAAAACACGAAATTGAAGATAAAGATATTCCACCTACTCTTATCTACTCTGGCAGCCGACATGCCACATTGAAGGTGATGAAAGTCGTTAATCAGGCCCGAGGAACTCCTGGATGTGAATACAAGCCACACAGCTCCATCATTCGCCGATATCATGCTGCTAGCGGGGAAAAGGAGAAAAAGGAAGCGGTTAATGATTTTAATATGGGAAAGTTTCCTTGTATGTCTTGTACGATGGCGCTTGGACTTGGTCAGAACTGGAAACGTGTACGGCGAGTCATTCATATGGGACGAGGAGACCCATCAACGATCTGCCAGATGATGGGCCGCGCTGGTCAAGACGGAAAAACGGGGCTGGCAATTCTCATGGTAGAGCCACATCGCAAGTTTGGAAAGAATTCTGTTGAAGAGTTTACTGGGGAGGACAATCAAGAGGATGACTGCCGGATGGACGCGCTGGCTGTCACACCGATATGCCTACGAATAGCATTCTCAGTTGATAACTTGTAAGGGTTTTCTATCAATCTTGTGCTTGAAATTTCAAGAAAATAAACTAATCTGCAACATCATTTACAGGAATGGTTACATACCAGTTTCAGTCGATGATCCCAACTATCTAGCTGAAAAGAAACGTGAAGAAAGAAAAATGATGCCCCTTTGTAAGTGCTCAAACTGTGAGCCAGGCGAGGCAGATATCCTGGTAAGTAACTGGAAGAATTTGTCAATAAATAACTGGGATGTTGCCTTAGAAGACACACTCAACGCTTTCAAAGAGAACATGGACAGCTCGCCACCAGTCAAAAATGTTCCAAAGCCGCGAAAAAAACAAGTGAAAGCAATCAACCCTCTGTATTCTACCTTGGAAGATGTTTTCATCCGGAAGTTCAATGCTTATTTTGAAGATAAACTTGGCGACTGTGCCTCCTTCACGCCGGACTGTATCTTTGGCAAACGACATTCAGACAGGATTGTAGAAAGCTTGGACGATATCGAAAGTCTAACTGATCTCTCAAAAGTACTCGGTGGGGAGAGCCTTGATGGGTTGTTGGAATTGCTGTATGGAATAATCGTTGAATTTCGAGAAGGAGTCGACTTTCAGAACTACTTACAAAGCCAGAAGCAATACGACAATGACGTTGAAAGTAACATGAACAGGCTGAATGAAGAGATTGCAGCTCGGGCTGCAGAGCAGACACGACTAGAAGCGGAGGCTGCTGATAGGGTTAACACCAAGAGAAAACAAACCGAACTGTTCAAAGAGGCAGAGATAGAAAGGAAGAAGAAAAAACTTGAAGAAGATCAGCGATGTTTGAACATATTCAAGAGAGCGGCCTATGAACCATCGGAAGAAAACGAGCAAGCTAGAAGAAAATGTCTGAACAAACCATTGGAAGACACCAAAAAAGATCGAACCCAAACTCAAGCCTCAAACGACCCCATACTTGAACCATTGCTTGACTCTGCAGCACCATCATTTTCACCAACATCCCCAGGATCCGAAGTTTCCTGACCCTCCCTCCACATAGGGATTGCTGGTGGACACATTCGAGACCACATCTTCCCATTGCTTTCAGAGCCATTTTGAATCTTTTCTAGACCTTCAGTGTAATAGTTTGGGACAACAGCTGGAACGTATTGGCCAGCTTGGGACGATATTGCGCATATATCATTATTCTGTGTCATTCGAAGGCAACTGTTGAGTGATCGTGGGGTGATTATGTTCTTGTGAGATTGATGGTAGTTGACAAGTCCGCTTTCTTCTTTCAAATCATGTATCAAATTTTGTAACTAAAAAAAATAGTGTGTCAGACAGGAAAGATGTATCGGACAAGCAAACTAATTACCAACATACCAAAGAAACATTTGGGGAATAAACATCTTTTAGCCGTTCAATATCTGTCCCGTTGCCGGTGTGATTGAATATGTACTTGAGCCAATAATTTTGTGATTCCAAGAAGAAGTCCTTTGCTACAAAGTGTTTGCGCCTTCCACTGGGAGCTATGAAGAGAGAATGTCGAATCGCCTTGCTCAGATCAGGCGGCAAGATCTTCTCGAGTAGAATAACCAATCGTGGCAGATGTATCAAGTAGTTCTTGAGTTTTTTCATTGACTGAGACATAACTGACCAACGCTTCCACATATAAATTACCCTACCCACATCACCTGACTTCATTGCCCTGTTTGCTTCAACAACACTGGCAAAATCGATTGTTCTCAGGAGCTGATTGGATAACTTTGGAGAGAGCAATTTTCCTGCTTTGCAGACCGCTGATGCAGTGAAAAAACGATTGTAGCACTCATTGATGACCAAGCTGATCTTTTCAGAAGGGAGTTCACGCAGTTTTGTTCCGATTTCAGTATTATCAATGCCAAGTACAACCCTAGGGAAGAAATATGGCTGTATAGATCAGTTTTTGGCAAATAGAAAGAGTATAAGCCCAATAACTTACATCAAGAAGTGGCATATGGTCGCTTCATGGATTTTTTCCATGTTCTGAATCATCAAAGTGTAGTCTTTCTTGTTGATAGGTTTGTCGGATGGAATGCCAAGAGCATCTAAGAAGCGCCAAGCACCAGAATCACGACTGTCGGCCACATTTCCTAAGTGGAGAGCAAAGATTGCTCCAGCAATATTCCAGAGGGTGTGCGCAGCACCGAGTACTGTGAGAAGGCTTGTGAGGTTCTCTTCATTACGATGGGTTGGGATTCGCAGGATTCGCAGGCTTTGAACGTTTTTACAGGTTGCCAAGTCAGCATCAATGACTTGTAAGCGGTCGTAGAAGTTGTCCTCAGAAATTGATGACTGTTGAAGAATTCCATCAAAGACATCAGAGACTCCTTGAGATGACTCATCCAAGGCCACCATCAACTTCAGCATGGTGATATTGGGTCGGGTATGTGAGATCTGGTCGACTGTAGGTGGGGTGGTTTGGACAGCAATTTGTGTGTCGGTTGGCTTGACAAGGTATTTGAGGAGGACCGTGGCAATCTGAGATTTGAGGACTTCCTTCCAATGAAGGTGTTCAGCAATGCCACCGTAGAGTTGCTTAGGGTGTATTTCGACTGATGCAGCGTTTGACATGGCGTCTTTGAATGCTTGAAGACTGAGACTGTCTGCCGAGAGTGAGGCTGTAATTGCAGGGTTGAGCTGATGGATGTAACCCCATGTCCCGTGGAACATCTTCGTATCGTGTCCTTGAGATTTTGTGTGAACCCTCTGCTCAAAATCTAGGTTATCAATGCAGAGGAAAGGAGTAATTGGGTCGTTTGATCTGTTTGCTAGCTTCTGTGAGATATTAGACAAAGCCGCTTTTCCAAGGGTCTTCAATGCCGAAAGAGCTGTTTTTCGAGACGAAGTCAGACCGATCTGTTGTAAGTATTTGTTGACCCGTTCAGAAACGCCACAAGGCAAGAATGTCAAGCTGTTTGAAAGTTGAAGAGCATTGTGCCTCCGATTGGCGAGAAAAGCAACCATGGCACAAATAGTTTTTCCAGTCTGTTTTATAATGGTCTGAGTAAGTAAGCAATTGTGAAAAAATAGTAAAAATGCATGGAAAAAGAATTTACAGTGATCACTCGTTGCTGATGGTCTTTCCGAGCATCTGGCCCATCACCATAGAGATCGGGTGCACACTCCTCATTTTCAGACTCTTCAAGAGGCTCATCTTCATCATCACAGTCCTCTGAATTGCTAGTTGGGGTCAAATCTATTCGCATCTTATTTGTGACAAGTTTGAATAGGAAGGGCATATACTCTTCTACAAGCTTTTTGTCGCGCTGGTCCTTCGCATCTGAATCAAAAAAATCTGCTTTAATTTTTTTTGAGCTGTAAAAGCTGCCCTTGGGATAAAGGCCACTTGGAGGGGTCTCGGTTTGAACTATGATGGAGGCCTAAGTTGTGAATTTATAGTACAGCAATGTTAGCATTATACAAGATGAAAATGACAAGAATTGACTTACTTCATTCAGAATGAAGTTGTTCCATGTTGATCTCCCCTCGTCGGTCTCCTGAACTGTGTCCCGAATGGCTTTTATAAGCTGAAACGTCGATGGAATTCCCTTAGTCGTGCTCCAATATCGTCGTTCATAAGCGGCACCCATGTCGGAGTTCTGGAGGAAAGCCGCGAGAAAGGATTTTGGGGTAAAATCCATTGCCGCTATGAGGTCGCAAACGAGTTGAATCTTGTCCTTTTCTCTTTTTGGACGAGGTGGTGGTGTCCAGTTGAGGGTACTTTTTTGAGGCATTATGAAGACGATGACTGTCCTCGATGTTCCTCAAATTCTGATGCTGATCGAGTGGGTTGATTTCCTCAAGTTCGTTCTTTCAGCCTTTCGACGATAATCGTTTTCAAGGTTCCTCAAGTTTTGATGCTGATGGAGTGAGTGCCGGCCAAAATAGCCGTTTTTGATCTTCCTCAAATTTTGACGTTGCTCGATTGCGTGCCGGCCAAGATGGGTCCAGGTTGATTCCTTTAAGTTCCTGGCAGACTTCTGATGATAAGTGTTTTCTATCTTCCTCAAGTTCTGATGCCGATCGGGTGAGTGCCGGCTGAGATAGGGACTCATAGGTCCCAGTCGAGTTCCTTAAGTTCTCGGTATACTTTCGCTAAATGCCTGTAGTCTTTTAATTAAGTTTAGTTGGAAAAAAAGACTTCAAGGCACAAGAAATTAAAATTAAGTTTTTAATTAACATTATGGATTTGGAGTCCAACGGGCAAGGAGGGATCTCCAAGAACTGGATATTTCAACAAAAAAAAAAAGTTTATTTCCATTGATGTAGCTCAAAAACTGTGGAGGCCATGATGGCGGCAAGATGCACGCCATCGCCTTGAGCAAAAAAAAAATAAAGCTTTACAAGGTTCATGAGGTGTGGGTCGGAAAAGGTGTGCTCTACACCAAAGTGATTTCCTGATCCCAGGCACCGAAACAAACTTTGCTCGCAAGTCCCTCTACCAATGGTAGAGGCAACCTCCGGTTGGCCTCCGGCCCCTCTACCCTAATTGGTACGAGGGACTTGTGTCAAGTTTGACCATCAGCAAAGAGGGCGAGTTGTTTGAGGATGGGGTTCAAGTATCGGAGGCTGAAGAAGAAATTGATCCAGATGACGTCCCAGCCTCGGACTCCGATTCCGGTTCTGAAGGAGTTGAAAATACCGAGGTAGTTCAGAATAAAACTAAGGGGAAGTACGCCACCAGTGGTATTGGTCTGACCTTGAAAAAGGTAAAATGATTAACCAGTTTCACCTCCATTCTTAGAAACTGACCGATTCAAATTCTTGATTGATCTGAACCAGATCGATTACGTCTGCCGTCAAATATGTAGCTTGCCCGCCAAACAAGCCAAATATAAAGTGTGGGCACAAAAGTTAGGCTATGATGGTCCTGGAATAATTGGTGGCTACGGCATACGATGGAACATAGCATACGAAAGCCGGAACCGAGCTTACCAGGCTCGAAAGGTCAGTTTTAATCTTAGTGTTACAATAAGACCCCACTATGCAACACTCATCAAATGAATTTTGTTGCTTGCTTTGACAGGTTATCAACCAACTCCTTGTGAATGAGACTGAAAACGGTAATGGTAAATACTTTAATGGGTACGAGTTCTCCTCAAAGGAATG